TTGAGTGCAGCACTTTCACAGCATCATCTTTTAGGATTTGAAATAACTCAACTGGAATTCTATCATCCCCACTGGCTTTGTTCATAATGATGCTTCTTAATGCCCACTTGACTTCATATTCCAGGATGTCTGGCTCTAGGTGAGTGATCACACCATCATGATTATCCTTTTTGCATAGTTCTTCTGTGAATTCTTGCCACCTCTTCTTATATCTTCTGTTTCTGTTAGGTCCATGCCATTTCTGTTCTTTATTGTTCCCATCTTTGCTTGAAATGTTCCCTTGGTATCTCTTAATTTTCTTGAAGAGATTAGTTCTTAGTCTTTCCCATTCTGTTATTTTCCTCTATTTCTTTGCATTGATCACTGAGGAAAGGTGTCTCATCTCTCCTTGCTATTCTTTGGAACTCTGCATTCATATGGGTATATCTTTCCTTTTCTCCTTTGCCTTTTACTTTTCTTTTCTTAGCTATTTGTAACAAGGCCTCCTCAGGCAACCATCTTGCCTTTTTGCATTTCTTTTTCTTGGGGATGGTCTTGATCACTGCCTCTGTACAATATCACGAAACTGTCCACAGTTCCTCAGGCACTCTGTCAGATCTGATCTCTTGAAGTTATTTGTCCCTTCCACTGTATAATCTTAAGGGATTTGATGTAAGTCATATCTGAATGGTCTAGTGGTTTTTCCGACTTTCTTCAATTTAAGTCTGAATCTTGCAACAAGCAGTTCATGATCTGAGCCACAGTCAGCTCCTGGTCTTGTTTTTGCTGACTGTATAGAGCCTCTCCATCTTTGGCTGCAAAGAATATAATCAACCTGATTTCAATATTGACCGTCTGGTGATGTCCATGTGTAGAGTCATCTGTTGTATTGTTGGGAGAGGGTGTTTGCTATGACCAGTGCATTCTTTTGGCAAAACTCTGTTAGCCTTTGCCCTGCTTCATTTTGTACTCCAGGGCCAAACTTGCCTGTTACTCCAGGTATCTCTTGACTTCTACTTTTGCATTCCAATCCCCTGTGATGAAAAGGACATCTATTTTTGGTGTTAGTTCTAAAAGGTCTTGTAGGTCATCATAGAACTGTTCAACTTCAGCCTGTTTGGCATTAGTGGCTGGGGCATAGACTTGGATTACTGTGGTATTGAATGGTTTGCCTTGAAAAGGAACAGACATCATTCTGTCATTTTTGAGATCACACCCAAGTACTGCATTTCAGACTCTTGTTGACTATGAGGGCTGCTCCATTTCTTCTAAGGGATTTCTGCCCACAGTAGTAGATATAATGGTCATCTGAATTAAATTCTCCCATTCCAGTCCATTTTAGTTCACTGATTCCTAAAATGTCAATGTTCACTCTTGCCATCTCCTGTTTGCCCACTTAACAATTTACCTCGATTCATGGACCTAACATTCCAGGTTTCTATGCAATATTGTTCTTTACAACATCGGACTTTACTTCCATCACCAGTCACATCCACAACTGGGCGTTGTTTTCACTTTGGCTCCATCTCTTCATTCTCTGAAGTTATTTCTGCATTCCTCCAAGCAGCATATTGGGCACCTTCCAACATGGGGAGTTCATCTTTCAGTGTCATATCTTTTTGCCTTTTTGAACTGTTCATAGGGTTCTCAAAGCAAGAATAAAACTTTAGCAAATCAAATTTGGCAGTACATAAAAAGACTAATGTCACAACAAATGGGATTTACCTCAGGAATGTATGGATGGTTCAGGATTTTTAAATCAATATAACCCAGCATGTTAACTATCTAAAGAAAAACCGCAGAATCATATTATTTGTTTCAGAAAAAGCATTTGACAAAATCTGATGTTTGTGATAATAAAGAAAAAAAAAATCAGGAAACTAGGAATAGCAGGGACCTTCTTCAGCCTGATACAAAAACTGTACACCTAACATCATACTTATTGGTAAGCTCCTGAATGCTTTCCCCGTAAGATCAGAACAAGACATAAAATCTGTTTTCACCAGTGCTAGCTGACTTTGTGCTGGAAGTCCTACCCAGTAGCTTAGGAAAGAAAAAGAAATATAGGCTAACTGGGATGAGGGTGATTGAAGCCCCAGTATTCTGAGCCTGCCATGCCTGGGTAGAGACTCCATTCTGTAAGTGGGGGCAGAATAGAGAAGGGGACCCTCGACCTTTGAGTTGGTCAAAATGAGAGATGGTGGTGGCCTGCACCCTCACCCTCTCAGGAGGATACAGAAAGTGCTGATTGTAAACTGAGGGGTGAGAAATCCCCACCTTCTAGGCCAGAGCCCCCCAGAGTGTGCCATCAATCCAGGAGAACTCTGTGAGGAAGAGGAGGAAGCAGGTTGTGGCCCAAAATGCCATAGTTCACTGTTTCTGTTGAGTTTTAGATTTTCTTGAATAAGTGTTTCTTCATTTGTTTTATGCCTTCAGGACAATCTCCAGAGACTTTAGGTGACCTAAGCTTTGTTTATCCTGAGACTGGTTCACAGGATCTCCTTAGCTGCCTTCCCAGGCATCTTCAGAGGATAGTTTTGCTGGATATAGAATTCTTGGCTGAAAGAAAAAGGCTTTTTTCTTTCAGCACTTTTTGGCATGCCATCCCACTGGCTTCTGGCCTGCATGCTTTCTCATGACAAATGAGCTGCTATTCAGTTCAGTTCAGTCGCTCAGTCGTGTCTGACTCTTTGTGACTCCATGGAGTGCACACAGCAGGCCTCTCTGTCCATCACTAACTCCTGGAGCTTGCCTAAACTCATGTCCATCAAGTTGGTGATGCCATCCAACCATCTCATCCTCTGTCGCCCCCTTCTCCTCCTGTCTTTCCCAGCATCAGGGTCTTTTCTAATGAGTCAGTTCTTTGCATCAGGTGACCACGGTATTGGAACTTCAGCTTCAGTATCAGTCCTTCTGGTGAATATTCCGGAGCTGTTATTAGGGATTCCTTATGTGTGATGAGTTGGTTCTAACTGCTCTAAAGAGTTTTCCTTGGTCTTTTGATTATTGATAGCTAGATGTGAATCTCTGTGAGTTTATTCTTCTTGGAATTTGTTTACCTTCTCAGATATTTTTCATCAAATTTGGGGAGTTTGGGGTCATTATTTCTGTAGATATTCTTTCTGCCCCTCTCCTTTATGTGTGTGTTGGTCTCTGCTGGTGTCCTATGTGTCACTCTCTTCATTCATTTCTCTTTCCGTTCCTCAGTCAGGAAATGTCAGTTGACGATACTCTTTCACGTTTGCTGGTTCCACCTTATTCCTGCTCAGATCTGCTCTTGAGCCCCTCAGGGAATTTTAAATCCAATTTGTTACACTTTTCAACTCCAGGACTTTCATATTTGTAACTTCTGTCTTTATTGTTATACTTTCTTCTAAGAGGTATCATTCTTATGCTTTTTTTATTTCTTTAGATGCCATTTTATTTTGTTCTTTGAACATATTTCAAATACTTGAATTTAAAGTCTTCATCTAGTAAGTCCAACCTCTGAGCCTCTTTGGGGACGGTTTCTTTTGGCTGCTCGTTTCCCTGTGTGTGGATCATACCTTGTTTCTTTGCGTGTCTGATAATTTTTTTTTGAAAGTTAGGTTTTCCATTAATATAATATGGCATCTGTTAAACTCAATATCGTATTTTCCCCGCCCACCAGGATTTGTTGCAGTTTCCGTTGTTGCTGTTTGTTCGGTGGCTTTTCTGAATTAATTGCAGGTTTGTGTTCTTTGCTGTGTGTGATCACTGAGGGGTTAGGCAGTGCAGGGAGCGGAGCAGAAGTGCTCCCTAATGCCTGGAGCCAGGAAATCTCCCAGGCTCTGTGGCAGACTCTGTGTCCTGGGGGTGCCTTCAGCTCCCAGCCACGTTGTTGGCATCCTGACTTTCTCCTCAGCTTCCTGCTTACACAGAGCCTTCTTGGACCTCTCCCGGACATGCACACAGCTGTACATGCACGTGTGACTTCTGGATCCCAGGAATACTCTGGAGCTTTTCAAAGCTCTTCTTGATATCTCGTTCCTTAGCTCCTTTACGTTTCCTGGCTGGCCAGTTTTCTCCATTTGTGGTCCACTGTGTTTGGCCTGATGAGTAGGGTTTTTTTTTTTTCATCCTGAGTTTAAAATTGCCTCTCGATGCTTTCAGCAAACATCTCTAGGGAAAAGACTTTTTCTGCTGAGAGCTTCAGCATAAAAGGTCAGATCAAAAACAGCCTTGGAGGTGGAGCCTTCCAGGGAGACGCTGTGCGGGCCTTGAATGAGCCCCAGCCCCATGGCTGCCAGAACGTTTGTTCCACCATGATTTGAGCTTTTGGCTTTCTCAGGTACAGGAGAAGAGGTAGGGACATGGCAAATTAGAATGCCACAGTTCTCGGATCTTACTGAGATTCAGCCGTTTCTTGAATAAATTCTCCTGGGTCATTTTCAGAGTTCTGAAGAAGCTGACTCTTAACAGTTTTTGCTGGTGTTCTTCTTGTGTCTGTGGAGGAGAAAAGCTGTAGGAGGTCCCTTTTCCACCCTTCCTCTAAGCTCAACACACTTCCATTGTGTCTTTTTCACGTGCGTCCATGTTGACACCACAGGGCCCTTCCTGCTGCCCCCCAGCCCCATCCCGCACCCCAGTGGGGCCTGTGCCCAGCCTGCCCAGCCTCTGCCCTCCTGGGAGCTTCTGGACCGAGGTCTGGACACGTGGAAGAGCAGCGTAGCAGTTTTTTCATCTTGTTCTCATCTCTGTTCCCAGAAGAAGAACCACAAAGCTTCAGTTCTGAGCACAATTGTATTGTCTTCCTCCTGAGGACCTGAAATTAGGTGTCGTCTCCTTGGCTGCCTCCGTTTGGGGTCTTAGCCGTTTGTAGGGTAAAACTGCGAATTAGAGCTGACATGGGGCCCTCAGAAAAGGGCCTCAGTGCTGAGGTGTGACCCGGCAGGCCTCTGGCAGGAATGTGGGGTCCAATGTGAAAACTCACTCACCCAGCCCAGGGTGGGGGTGCAGCCCCTGCATGGAGAGGCTGTGGTGACCCCCACGTCTCCCGGCAGAGCGGGAACAGCTTCCACGTGCTGGACCAGGGCCAGTTTGCCAAGGAGGTGCTGCCCAAGTACTTCAAGCACAGCAACATGGCTAGCTTCGTGCGGCAGCTCAACATGTGTGAGTGTACTGCCTTGGCCCTGCATACAGCCCCACGCGGCCCGGAGCCCACGCAGCTGAAGGGGAAGGGGTGTCTCAGGGAGTCTCCCTGAGACTAAGACCACCCAGCCACTGCAGGCAGGGCTTCTGGGAGGGCAGTGCTGGGCATTCCCTGAGCCAGGCCCCACCCGCCGGGGCCTCCCTCCATCCTCCCCCGGGGCAGGGGCCTTCCTGGAGAGAGGGGTAAGACCCCAGCCCTGAGGCAGCGCTGCTCCAACCCCGTTGTACACAGATGGCTTCCGGAAGGTGGTCCACATTGAGCAGGGTGGCCTGGTCAAGCCGGAGAGGGATGACACCGAGTTCCAGCACCCATGCTTCCTGCGAGGCCAGGAGCAGCTCCTCGAGAACATCAAGAGGAAAGTGACCAGCGTGAGTAGCCGTTCTCCCCCACGGTCTCAGCTCTCCGCCCAGGCCACCGGCAAGAGCAGCGTCCACTCGCTGGCCTGGCTTGGCCCAGCTATGCCAAGCCTGCTTCCTGCCGGCCGCACGTCCCCCATCGGCCACCCCAGCGAAGGCCCCTCCATCCCAGCAGCCCCTCGGCCCTTTCTGCTGTATCCCGCCCCGCCCCCAGGCCATCTCAGTGACTGCTCCCCCGGGGACGCAGGTGTCCACCCTGCGGAGCGAGGACATAAAGATTCGCCAGGACAGCGTCACCAAGCTGCTGACCGATGTGCAGCTGATGAAGGGGAAGCAGGAGAGCATGGACTCCAAGCTGCTGGCCATGAAGCAGTAGGTTCTGGGACGCCATGAGAGCAGGATGCGACTCCTCTGGGATGGTTGGGTTACCGTAGTGGGTGCGGCCTGGGAGCAGCCTAAAGCTGGTTCTGTCATGACCAGACCTGCCCCAGGGTAAGGTTTCCAGAAAGAACTTCTGCGGAGCAATGGTGGGGGAGGTGGGGGTGTGAGAGGCCCTCCTGTGCAGTAACATGGGGGAGGCGGTGCTGGCGAGGCCGCTCCCCAGCCCTGGTCCCGCGGGCTCCGGGCCTTCCCCTCGGGCCAGGGCCACGTCTGGACTTGGATGGCCTCCCGGCCCTTGCCAGGCTGGACTTGCCGGCTGGACCTTGCCTGGGAGGCAGGGTCAGTTGCAGTCCCGTGGCAGCCCGCACAGCTGGGCCCTCGGGCCCTTCACTCTGCCCGCACATGAGCCTGGCACATGAGCATGTGTCACCTCTCATCGGGCCTGGCGCAGGAGGCACTGCGGGTTCTTTCTGGACCCCCCCCCCCTCCCTGGGGCACATCTGGTCACCACAGAACCGGTTTTAGGCACCCCCCCCCCACCGCCAGGACCCCCATAGCGGCCAGTTTAGACCCCCTCCTATGTAACTGGGGCCCTCAAGCACCCCACCCAGCCCAGGGTGGCCTCAAAGCCATTCGGGGCAGGCCGTCGCACCCCTAGAGCATGGAGGAGGCTCCTAGCCCCTACCTAACTACTCATGTCAGACAGCCCAGCAGGAGCACCCCACAGAGGTGGGGTCAGGTGGCCTTGGCCTCCAGGACAGGGGCGCCTCTTAGAGTGAGCACAGGAGGGTCTGCCGCCTGTCAGAAGACACGCTGGTGTTGAGCCGGGCGTGGGCTGCGGTGCTGGTCCTTTGTGCTCTTTAAGGGCCACTTCGGACCCCCTAAAGCACAGGAGAACCCGCACTCGCAGTCCTGTGACCTGAGAGCTGCACCGCCTCCATCCCCTGGGCCCCCATCCTCGGTCCAGGCAGAGAGCCCGGAGGCTCTGCCACTTTGACCATGACTGAGAGGGCCCTGGGGTCTCGGCCTGGCCCCGGGCCCGTGCTCGGCAGCGGGCAGGGACAGGCCAGCGGGTGGGTGCGTGTTGGAGCGGGATGTCCCAGGGCTCCCGCCGCCTGCTGACCACGCCCGGTCTGCTGCAGTGAGAACGAGGCGCTGTGGCGAGAGGTGGCCAGCCTGCGGCAGAAGCACGCCCAGCAACAGAAAGTCGTCAACAAGGTGCGTGCCGGGCCGGCGGGGAGGGGGGCCCTGTCCGCACCGGGCTGACCACCTCTCCCCCTGCAGCTCATCCAGTTCCTCATCTCGCTGGTGCAGTCAAACCGGATCCTAGGGGTGAAGAGAAAGATGTGAGGCACGGGGCACGCCCGTCTCCCGTGGGCCGCGACCCGGGGCCGCGAGGCCGGGCCGCCACTCACCCGCCCCTCCCCACAGCCCCCTGATGCTGAACGACGGCGGCCCTGCGCACCCCATGCCCAAGTATGGCCGGCAGTACTCGCTGGAGCACATCCACGGCCCAGGCCCCTACCCGGTGAGCTGCGGGCGCCTGGGGTGGGGGCGGGGGTGCAGCTCCCACCACGTGTGCTCACCTCCCTTTGGTGGCAGGCCCCCTCTCCAGCCTACAGCGGCTCCAGCCTCTACTCCCCAGACGCTGTCGCCAGCTCCGGACCCATCATCTCCGACATCACCGAACTGGCCCCCAGCAGCCCTGTGGCCTCTGCCGGCAGGAGTGTAGATGAGAGGTGCGGCCCAGCGCCTTCCCCACAGGCAGGAGCGGGTGGGACCGGCAGAGGCGCTCGCTGACGCCTGTGCCCTATGGGCAGGTCCCTGTCCAGCAGCCCCCTGGTTCACGTCAAGGAGGAGCCCCCAAGCCCGCCACAGAGCCCCCGGGCAGAGGATGCCAGCCCCGGCCGACCGTCCTCCATGGTGGAGACGCCCCTGTCCCCAACCACCCTCATTGACTCCATCCTCCGGGAGAGTGAGCCCACGCCCGCTGTCTCCACCACACCCATCGCGGACACCGGGGGCCGCCCCCCCTCACCCCTGCCCGCCTCGGCCCCCGAGAAGTGCCTCAGCGTTGCCTGCCTGGACAAGTGAGTGCCTTCCACGCGCCCTGCGGTCTCCGACAAAGACAGTGCAGGGCTGGACACACGTGGCCCTCAGGCCCTCAGCACAGGACTTGCCAGGGGGAGCTGGCCGACCCGGCCCAGAACACGGAGCTGGGGAGGGAGACATACCAGTCTTGGGGTTCCGCAGTCCCTGCGCCACGAGAGCCAGGCGCGTGGCAGGCGCACCTGCCCCCTGAGCCGCCCTCCCCAGGCCGCCTGGTCTGTCTGTCCTGCTACCCCAGAGGTGGGCGAGCAGGGTGGGGGCTTGGAGTCCGCCTGGCCCCAACCAGCAGTGGGGGGGCTCTTGTCTTTCTATCTTGCAGTTTGGCTCGCACTCCAAAGATGTCTGGGGTCGCCCGCCTCTTCCCCTGCCCCTCCTCCTTTCTGCATGGCCGAGTCCAGCCAGGGTTAGCGCTGTCCCACTGGGGAGGGAGGAGGGCTCCGCCAGAGCTCGGGCCCCTCCCCAACATCGGAGCAGACCCCCACCTGGCCTGCTGAACAGGCTACCCCCCAGCTCTGGGGCCCGAGGTAGCACCCAAGTTGCTGATTGGCCTCCTTGCAGGGGCAGGCCCAGTCTCCCTCCTGGAGCATGCCAGGGGAGGCTGGCCCAACCCGACCGAGCACAGGTCCACCCTCCTGCTGTCCTCCAGTGCGAAGGGCAGGCCTTACTGAACCTGAAAAGCTGGGGCCCCAGCCCTTCTGAGCACTGAACTTCTCAGCCCCCTGCCGCCTTGGCCAGCCCAGCCTGACATGCTGCCAGAGGCCTTACGGGGCCTCATGGTGATGGGGGAGCCTGACCCACCACCCTGGTGGCCAAGTGTCCCAGCCCCACTGGGCCCAGGGCCCCACCTCATGGCCTCCTGTGAGCCTGCACAGGGCAGGCTGGCAGCAGGGCGCGAGGACCAGCAGGACTGCACCTGCGGGTGCCTGGACGCCACGTCACCCGCTCTCCTCCCTCTGGCCAGGACCGAGCTCAGCGACCACCTGGACGCCATGGACTCCAACCTGGACAACCTGCAGACCATGCTGACAAGCCACGGCTTCAGCGTGGACACCAGCACCCTGCTGGACGTGAGTCCCAGCCCTGCCCGCCCTGCACTCAGCCCACCCTGCTTGCAGGGCAGTCTGACCGCCCCCTCTTCCTGCAGCTGTTCAGCCCCTCGGTGACGGTGCCGGACATGAGCCTGCCCGACCTGGACAGCAGCCTGGCCAGTGTGCGTAGGTGGGGCGGGTGGGGTACCCCCCGGCCCCACCACACCCTGACCCAGTCCCACCCATAGGGAAGCAGCTGGTGCACTACACCGCCCAGCCCCTGCTGCTGCTGGACCCAGGCTCCGTGGACGTGGGGAGCAGTGACCTGCCGGTGCTCTTCGAGCTGGGGGAGGGCTCCTACTTCTCCGAGGGAGACGACTACTCAGATGACCCCACCATCTCCCTGCTGACGGGCTCAGAGCCCTCCAAAGCCAAGGACCCCACTGTCTCCTAGAAGCCCCAGGAGGAGAGCCAGCCTTGGGCAGGGCTGCTGTCGGGGAGCCTGGTCCCCTGGCTGGCAGGGGTGGTGGGGGCAGGGGGCGGCGCTCAGCCCCCGGCCAGCACTGAGGGCCTAGCCCTGTGAGCTACGGCTCCCCTGGGCTTCACGGCCACACTCAGACTGACCAGGACGCAGGTGTTCATAGAATTGTATTTTGGATTTTTACATGAGAGTCCCCCTTTCCCCTTCGATAGAGATACAGATATATACGTGGACAGACAGACTGATGAGCCAGGCAGAGATTTATAAACAACGAGCTCTGTGTGTGGTCTCCCTGTCTGTTCCTCCTGCCAGAGTGCGGGCGGGGGTGGGGGTGGGGGCATGATGATGAGGGGCGCAGGGTCTTGGAAGGGGCTGGAGGGAGGCAGATGGACACAGCACGCAGAGCCTACTGGCTCCCCTGGGCCGCATGTGCTCAAAAGTTCTTTATAAAGGGACCAGGGCGGGGTCAGCACGGCCCACAGGCGGCCTGTGGCCAGGTCCACACTAAAGGACCAGGTGGGACACAGGTGGGTGCATTGGGTCAGCACTGTGGGTCTGGAGTGAAGGAAGCACAGGCCCACCTCCTGAGTCAGGCAGCCAGGGGTGCAGAGGTGCACATAACATAGGAGGCGGGCCACAACAGCCCTTGCGGTGCCCTGCACCCCCAGCTCAGCCCTGCTCACTGTGCTTGCTGATGAGTAAGACTCAGGGTGGTGGCTGCCTAGGAGGCAGGGGTCAGGGAGATGCTGTCTACACCTGCTAGAGACCAAACAGTGCCTAGCCAACCAGTCTCTCACCCAGACAACCACCATGGGCTGGAGTGGCTTCTGGTTGGGGCAGGGCAGTACAGCTGGGTCCACTGCCCAGGCACCACCTCAGGCACCCATCTTACCGGGCCGCAGCTGGTGGTCAGGGCACACCTGCTTGGCACAGCCTCAGGGTTTCCAACCCAGGCAGCAGAGCCACTAGATGGGGGAACAGCCCAGGGTTTCCCTGTCTCGCTGCCAAGCTCTTGAGTGGCAAGCTCTGGGACCGAGGTATCCCGAGGGCCACACCCAACTGCCTGGTGAGGGCCTGGAAAAACGGGGAGCCCCCACCATCAGGCCGACCTCTGCCCCTTGGGGGCAGAGAGGGAGGCCCTCAGTGAGGGCTGGGCCAGACCACCCACCTTGTCCAAGCGGCGCAGCGCCCAGCCCAGGTGAGCGCCCCAGCGCCCGTCTGCACAGGGGCCTGTGCACGTGGCCTCTGAGGCCTCTGCAGCCTTGCCTTGGAATCTCTGCTGCCCCTCGGGTCGGCCTGATTCTCAACCCTCTTCCACACCTTGGCCTCTGGCCTGGCCCAAGTTGAATCCACTTGAGTGCAGACCTCAGGCACAGGGGGCCTGGGAGCACAGAGGCTCCACCTCGCAGAGCAAGATATCTGACCACAGAGCCCTGTGAGGCAGGGAGGGTCACCCCAGCCCCAGCTCCTCTCCAGGCGCTGGGGGCCCCTTCCCACAGCATGGCCCTGAGGGAGCCCATGTGGGAGGGCCACCCCCTCCTGCCAGCCCTGTGCCCTGGAGGCTGAGGGAGCTCACTGTGCACAGCACTTTATTGACACATTCAGACCCTTGGGCGGGATCTACAGAACATGGGCACCTCCCGTGGGCCTGAGCTGTGCCGGGCCTGCCATCCCCTGGCCAGGAGGAAGGCCCTCGGGGGGCAGAGAGGCCTCGTGGGGGCCAGAAGGCAGCTTCTACCAGCCAGGCCCCCTCCACTGTGCCCAGGTGGGGATGGGCTCCAGTCCAGTCGCCGGCGGCAAGGCGAAGCAGTTCAACACCCATGAGGGCGCCAGCCTGGAGGGGCTCAGGCCCCGGCTGTCGGGGCCTCGTAGTTGAGCACGTAGTAGTCATGGACATACATGAGGACGGCCACTGGCTGCCCGATGATGAGTGACAGCCACACGGCTGCGTTGCCATAGTTCCCACGGAAGAAGCGGCCCACTATCCAGGCCAGCGGGATCTGAGGACACGGGACAGGAGTGAGCCTCCGTGCCCACGGGGCGGGTTTGTGGGTGGGGGTCCGGGGCTGCTCACCTGTGCCATCATGCCGGTGAAGGCCCAGAGGCGGAACATGCGCAGGGGGATGCTCACCAAGTACTAAGGGGAGAGGGGCGTCAGCTGAGCCCCCGCCCCCCCCCCCCCAAGGGGCAGGGCGTGCCCTCAGTGCACTGACCTCATGGAAGAAGGCAGAGGCCAAGAACACCCCTGTCCTGGCTGCCCACTTGCTGCTGCCCCGCCGGAGCATGGGCTTGTAGAAGTGTCTGTGGGGGAGGCAGCAGTGGGCAGGGCACCCAGCCACACGCCCCCCACCCCTACCCTCAGGCGCACACCCACCTGAGGCACCACTTGTGAACAGGGATGTTCCAATTCTGCCAAAAGTAGGTGATCGACTCCGAGTTCCTGTGGGGGCGGGGTGGGGTGGAGTGGAGTGGGTAGGGGCTTAGGCCCCAGCCCCAGCAGGGGCCCCACCACCCCCATCCGCGCCCCCACCCCGGCGGGGCCACCCACCACCAGTCCCGGTAGAACTCGCGGTCTCCAAACTGCATGAGCTCGGCCACGGCGTTCAGGCAGGAGTGGAAGAGCCAGTAGAAGAAGATGAGCCAGATGAGGTGATTGGGGACCTGTGGGGAACGGGTGCCAGGTGCCAGGACAGCCCCACCCGCTCCCACGCGCCCCCACCCAGCAGGCCACTCACCGCCAGTTTCAGTAGGCGCTCCACGATGCGGGAGTAGTCCATGTCCTGTGGACACAGGGCACAGCTGGCTCCCTCAGCCCTGCCCCCGGAACCCACCCTGCCAGGTCTGCCTGCTCACCTTGAAGGGCTTCATGGAGTTCTGGATGGCTGGGACCATCCACTGCAAAAAGCGCAGTGTCAGCTCCCCGACAGCCCCAGGCCCTGCCCCAACCCCCAGCCCCACCCCCTGCCCGGGCCGCGTACCTGCTGGATCAGCCCCACCTGGAGCTGGGTGAGGAACAGCTGCGTGAGGAAGCAAGCGGCCAGTGAGCTGAGCCCCCGGTGCCGGCAAGCCCACCCACCCTGGCCCGCGAGGCCCCGCGAGGCCCCGTCTCACCATCTCCAGGAGTCGCCGCAGCAGGAAGCGCTTTCGGATGCGGGGGGAGCGGGGGAAGTTGAGCTCGTAGCACAGGGTGGGGGCGAAGAGGAAGTAGTAGAGATCTGGAAGGGAGGGCGGGGCTAGCAGAGCAGGCCCCCGGGCAGCCCCCCCAGCCCTTGGCAGGGTCCTCACCGCGGTAGGTCAGGTTGTCGGGATAGCTCACGGTGCGCTGGGCAGCTCCCCCGTTGGCCTTCTTACCTGCCAAAGCTACGAGCAAGCGGCAGGGGGCGGGGCGGGGGTGAGCCGAGCCCCTGGCAGGTGGCAGCCCAGTGGCCCCAGCCCGAGGCAGCCCTCACCAGCCTTGGCCTTGGCCCCAGCCCTGCGCTCTCGGCACCAGAGATTGACGTCCCGGTAGGAGAACAGCTTGAGGAAGAGGATGGTGTAGACCATCAGGGCCAGCACGGAGCCCACTGTGGGAGAGGCAAGCTCAGGCCACGCCCCCGCGCTGCCGTGGCAGAGACAGCGTGGGGTGGGGCACTGGAGTGATGGACTCAAGGAGGAAGGCCACCGCCGCTGGGAAGCAGAGAATGGTGGCCAGGTTGACCCCGTGCAGCAGCAGCCCCACCTGTTCCGTCAGGGCTCCCTGGGGTGGGGGAGCAGAGCGCTCAGCCAGGGCCCCTCTCCCTGGTCAGAGGACCTCCCTGGGGAAGGGCCGCCAGGCCTGAGGTGCAGCCCGTCCCAGAAAGGCCATGCAGGACCCAACACCCTGAAGCACAGTGGGACCAAGTGGTGACCCACCCTAAGCCCGACTGGTAAGGAGCTTGAGGCAGGTCAGGGGCGGGTGTGAGGGCACTGCTTACCACGGCCAGGCGCTTCTCCACCTGGAACGCAGCCACGGCAAAGATATTGGCCACTGAGGACAGAAGCAACCCAGGGCAGGTTCAGGCCCAGGTCAGCCCTGTCCCGCCCACCGCCGGCCTGAGGCCTCCTGCACACCCAGCTCACCAATGACCAGGCACAGGGCTGGCCAGCTGTAAGGGTCCTTCAAGAACAGAGACACCACCTGGATGGGGTCCACCAGGATGCCGTACCTGCAGACGCAGGTGGGTGAGGGTCTGCGTGGGCGAGGGGTGAGGTGGCAGGGGCTGGGGCGGGCTGGGGCCCACTCACTTGATGAGGTTCTCTAGAAATAACCGTGCGTTGCTTAAGATCTGTGATAGAGAGAGAGGGGCACAACGCTGTCAGCCATGGCCCCAGAAAACTCACCCCAGCTCCTGCCAGCACTCGCAGCTCAGGACAGCAGCCTCCATCCTGCAGGCCTAGCCCTGAGGGACCTCACGCCAAGCTCCAAGACTCCCCACCCATGGCCTGGGCACCCACGCAGGGACAGGCAGCCCCTACCCATCTGGAGCCAACCACAACCTCAGGTGCCTGTGCTGCCATGACAGAAGAAACCCACTGCCCAGCGGCTGTCCTCCATCCCACCGAGTGGGTCAGCGCCCGCGGCCACAGCGACAGCCCCAAGCCCCAGCGAAGTCCAAGCCTGCCCAGTGCGCTGCCACCTGCTCAGGGCTCCGCCCTGCCAGCTGGGCCCATCCTCACAGGCGGGGTGTGCCCACGCCCTCAGTGGGGTGGTGGGAAGAGCAGGCCAGTCCTGAGGGGCCAAGGAAGCTGGGCCTGGGTCTCCACCCCTACTCACACCCCCACCCACCTCGGCCACTCCTGCAGCAACAGCAAAGGACGGGTCCCCTGTCACAACAAGCTCTTGCCAGTGGCCTGGAGCCAGATGCCTGGCTGCCCTCTGCAGGGGCAGGGGCCGCCTCCTCCACCCTCAAGGCTCAGGTCCCATGGAGGTTGCAGAAGGCTCTGTGGAAAAGTGATGCTTCTCCAGGCGACACAGGTGGAGTCCCCTACCCGGAAGGCTTCCCAAGGTGACAGGCTCAGAGATGCGGGGGCCACCTGCCACACCGTCCCCCAGCCAAACGCCTAACCATCCAGCTTACCAGGACACACGTGGTCCTGCAATGTCTGCCCACTGGCAGTTGCCTGTCCTGAGAGCCCACCGCAGGCAAGAGCTGGAGCTGCTAAGAGGCCCACCCACCTGGAAGCCCAGGCTGCAGAGAGGACGCAGCAGGCGGCCCCAGCTCCTTGGGGGGGGGGGGGGTGGCGGAGCTTTGTGAGTGCACCAAAGGGCCAGGAGGCCAGGGGCTGCAGGAGAACAGACAGGCTGCCGAGGGCGTGCCCTGCATGACTGCCTTGCCACAGTCCTGGACCAACCGTGGCCTCCAGAGATGCATGGACCACTGGGTCTGGACTGGTGCACGGCCCCCACTGCTCCCCAGGGGACCACCTGAGACCACAAATGGAAGCGTGGGGGCCCCCGGTACACAGGCAGCCTCGGGAGCCACGCCCAGGGCAGGCAGACACGTTGGCTGGAGGGGCGAAGGCCTCGAGCCACATCAGCCCTGAGCAGTGGGGCTGGGCCCAGACGGGCCTCACCCCGCCCCGCCCTGAAGGCTGCCCCTGGGATCCCTGCACTCCAGCTGCTGCTGGACAGGTCTGCTGGGGCCCGGCAGCAGTGGCCTCAGCCAGGTCAGAGCGAGGCGGACACAGGACTCCAGTCCTGCTCCCCCTAGGGCTGAGGAAGGGGCCGGGGTCCCACAGAGTGTGGCCTGGAGCCGGTTCACAACCACCCAGGCACTCCACACCCACGAGGGCAACTTGGAACAGAAGAGGAAGTTCTGCATAGACTCCCAAGACCACTCACCTGTGCTGCCAGGGAGGGCCTGGGCCCACAGAGCAGCCATCCCCCACCCAGGGCCACCAGACCGTCCCTGCCTACCCTCTCCTGCCCTGTGCCCACCACAGAGCGCCTGGGAGACTCCAGTGCCCCCCAGGGCGCAGCCTCCAGCTCAGAGGCTCCCAGGCTGCCCTCTGCAGGCGTCTCCTGGGATTCAGCAGGGACGGGGTGAGCATGCTCCCCATGGGGCCCTGGGGTACAGCTGCTCTAGGGACCCCCACGGCCAGCCCAGAGCTCCACTCACCCCAGCTACACGAGCACAGACACCCACCCTGGGAGCAGAGCCCATAGCCCCCCAGCCGTCAGGACCCCAGCTCCAAGGTGCCACTCTACATACCAGCATCACCACACACCAATTCAGGATGCCGCGGTAGTTGCTGAAGCCACTGTCAGAACTAAACAGAGAGTCCTGCAGGCGGTGACACCTGGAGAGCAGAGACGGGCACTTGGAGCAGAGCGTCTGGAGCAAGGCTGCCGCGCTGCGCACACACCCCCTCCCCGGGGAGGGTCACCAGGGGCCCGCCCCTCCCACTGGGGGAAGTGGTGTGGGGGGGCGCCACAGGTGCTGGCGATGCAGGACAGAAGTGGGGAGGGGGCAGACCCCCTGCAGCAGCGGGTCCCTCCTGGCACCCTGGGAGCCCAGGGGCCGCCATTCAAACCACCCATGCCCTCCGTTTGGCCCTTCCAGAGGGGAGGACCCGGCCTTCACGTGAGCCTAGGTGGAGGGCCACGCGAGCCACCCCGGGGGCTCGGCACCTGGAGTCCACTGCAGAAGCCAGCAGGGGACTTTCAGAGCCCACCTCTGACAGCCCCGCACCCAGTGCTGGGTCTGAGGGAGACGGAAGCCAACCCTCAGCTGGAGACAGAGGTGGAAGGGTGCAGCTCAGTCCAGGCCCAGCCCCACTGGCGGGTTCTAAGCGGCAGCCCCACCTCCTACCAACAGGCCCGCCACCAGGAGGCCATCCAGGGTGTTGAGCAAGGCCTCCAGTTTTGAAAGAGGAGAGGCCGGGGCTTCCCTTTCCCTCCTGTGGACACATGTCCCCAGGAATGGGGCACCAGAGAACAGCCAGCCTCCGGGGGCAGCTGGGGTCAGCACTCAGACGGCTGCACCCAGGAGACAGACGGCTGGGGAAGACAAGGTGCCAGCATCCTCAGCCGGGCAGCTCTGAGAGTCTGGCCCTGCCTCCCCACCACACCAGGTCCCCCCACCCCAGGCCCCGTTGCCTGGCCTGGCCTGCCCACACACCTCCTCCAGGTCTGTCCTGGGCTGCACATGCAGTGGGGCTCTGAGCCCCCAGGGTCTCTTCTTCGTGGCTCTCTGCACCTGCCTTTTGGCAAGGCGAGCAGGGCTCCCAGGCCCAACTATCCCCAAAGGACAGTCTGTGGGGGTGTCCACTTGATGGACCTGCCCAGAACCCCCCAGATCCAGCCCATTCACTGTGCCTGGAATCGTCCCAAAGCCACCTCATGCTACAACCTGCCAGTCACCATCTGCATGTCCAGGTCTGGCACCATACACCCAGGGGACGGTTTCACAACAGTGTGACCCCTGCCACCTTGGGGTCACCATGAAGACCACCCTGACCAGATGTGCAGCAGTCTCTAAGATGAGGGGGAGGGGGAAGGGGGGCATTTCCCAATCCTGACAAGTAATGTTATTAAAGCTTTTCCAGATCCCTGCTGTCAAGTTCCTGAGGCCTGCCCCCAGTCACCATACAGACCCCTCAGGTCTCTCCATTGGCCTTCTGACCATCCCACCTGGGCAGCGCCCTGCCCCCAGAGGTCAGAGGCCCCGAGCAGGAAGGAAGCCCACTGCCCACCAATCCCCACAGAGGTCCAGCCCCATGGCACAGTTCACTGCAGTGGACCAAAGGGCAGCAGGCATGGCCAGCGTGGAGGTGGGGCCTCACCCAGAGCTTCTCTGTCACCCTCTCCCTGACTGAGGCGTTGGTTGCGCCTCTGTGCCCCCCAGAGGTCCCCACCTGCTCCCCAGTCCCACCCAGCCAGCAGGGCCATTCTAACTCATCACAGTTGACACCTCATTTGACCTGCACATCAGCACTGGGAGGCGGGCACATGGGGAAACTGAGGCTCACCAAGCTTCCCAACTTGCCCAGAGACACAGCCCCAAGTGGGGATCACACGTGTGGGACCATACGGTCCAGCTCCAGGGCCGAACAGAACAAAGAGGGACAGGATGCCAGTTCGCCTCCCCACTGCCACCTCCTCAGCACTTCCTGCACCCAGCCTCTAGACCCTGGGAGAGCCTCTGGACTAGAAAGTTGTGCCTGGAGGGCCCATGAACCAATGGCTGGAGGACGCACCAGGCGTCCGGGCAGAGGGGAGTGTGGGGGACCTGGAAGGGACACGCTCAGAGGTGAGGCAACAGCAGTGGCCCTCCTTCCGGCACACAGCCGCACCTCGCTGCCGGAAGGAGTGAGCTCACACCCGGCGCCTGACCGCGCCTGCCCAGGCCTAGGTGAGCAGGAAGTGTCCGGAAGGGCTTGAGGAGGAAGAGAGAGGAACAGGCAGGGAGGCGGGGAGGCAGAGGCGACACCAAGAGTAGCCAGACCAAGGCCCAGCCCTGCCCCAGGAGGCCCCCTGCCCTGTGGCATGTGGCCTGGGGAACAGGCACACACAGCTGTATGTCCTGGAGATCAGGAGGGGCTCTGGTGGCCCATCCCCACCACCAAATGCTCCTCTTCCCAAGGGCCCAGACCTCAAGGGTGGGCCGTCGAGAGGACAGGAGTGGCTTCTGGCCATCTGGCCCGTGTAGAGCAGGCAAGTGACGGCCCATCCAGGGTGACAGCTTGGCCCAAAGCTGGTACCTGCCCCCACCTCATACAAAGTGACCCCAAATTCAGCTCCCCAGGAGTGGGCAGAGGGGCCTCTGGGCCTCCTGGCCTTTGCAGCCGCCCCCTCAGGACCACCCGGGGCCGGTAGGAAGCCAGCGCCACGCGCAGAGCCACCCTCCCTATGGTGTCACCCTGAACTCTGCGACCGACCTTTGCTCTCACTCTCCAGGGCTGAGGCTATCTTATCTCTCAGGTGAACTGTGTGCCCCCCAAGGGCAGGGACAGTGCCTGCACCCCAGCTGCCCTTGTCCCTCCCCTCCCCACAGCACCCAATGAAGAAAATAGCAAATCCTTGCTGACTGACTGACCTGTTGCCCACTTTCTCCTTGATAACCTTTAGCTCTGGAGCTGATCCCAAAGCCAGAGCCCCTGAGAGCCCTTGACCAAGATGAGGGTCAGAGCTTGGGGGAGGGGCATGGAGGATGACAAAGGGGGCGCCTGGAGGCAGCCACCAGGAGTTAGCCGACGCCCACATGGGTCAGATCCTCCCCTTCAGTCACAGCTTGCTCCCCCGACTCCTTCCCATCAATCCTTCAGCTAAGCAGGACGCCCACCTGTGGGTGTGCGTACTTCCAACTCCTCCCCTGTACCCCAACCAGGGGTGAGGGTCCCATTACAGGGCCCACTTTGACCCTAGAGCAGGCATTTGTGCTGGTAATAAGCAGGACCCCAGGCCAGTCAACCACCAGGTGACGGATGAGGGACCTTTGTGAAGACCATTCTCTGGAGGGTCTGATAGGGATGAGAAATCCCCTCGCACTGCCCCTTCCCCTGTTCTCCGCCGGTCTACCCTCCTCCTCCGGGAGCTTTATCAACCTACAAGGCATCCCTCATAGCCCTCAGGAGAGACTCCCGTATCTCCTTCCAGGCAGAGGACACTGTGCATGGTGGGCTCACCCTGGGAAAGCCTCAGAACGCACCTAAGGAAGGCAGAGGGAGGGCGTCTAGAAGCTGAGCCACTGCCCTCTCCTCGGCCCCCGTACCCGGGTGTCCCGGGCAGGAGACCCTCCGCCCCCAACCTCCCGCTAAGTTTCCCCGCGAAGGCCCGAGGGGCACAGCTGTGCACGCAAAGTCCCGGCGCCAGACTCTCGGACTCGAGCCCAAGCTGCCGCCGACAGGCCTGGGGCTACAGGTTGGGTCGCAGGGGCCCCGTATCAGGGGTCAAAGGTTAGGGGTCACGCGCACCGCTACCTCAGGTCCCAGTGGCCGCTGCCCACGTCTACGTCTCCGTCCTTGTCTGTGTCCTGGACCGGCGCGTCCCCTCCGGCGCCCACATCCCGCACCTCCTCTTCCGCTGCCGCGGGCCCACTGCCGCCCTGGATTGAAGGCCGCGACCCCGTCCTCCGGCGCCGGGAGCCGCCCGCGCCGCCGCGGTCGCCCATGGCCTCAGCCCGCACCCCGCCGCGGCCAAGTCGTAGCCCGCCGGGCTGGCAGCACCCGAGACCTGTGGCCCCGCCTCCGGACCCTTGGCCAACTGCCGCCACCGCCTCTACTACGCCACTGCCGTGGTCCGCGCCGCCAATCAGCGCGTGCAAACCCGGGCCCGCCGGCCCCTCCCGAAGTCCTGGGAAGCGTAGCTCCCGGAGTCGCTAACTGGCCCGCGGCCGCGGCTCGCAAGCCTTTGTAGTCCGCTGGCTCGCGGTGCACCCTGGGAGTTGTGGTCGCCGCGGGAGCGCGGGGCACCCTGGGAGTTGTAGTCTCCTGGCAAATGCAACCCCAGACCGACGAGAAAGACGCGGGGCTTCCTGGCAGCTGCAAGCCTCTCCTGACCGCTGCCTGCCCCTTGTCCCGCTCTATAAACACAGGATTTCGTCATTTCTCAGCTCAGGAGCGGAGTGTGGGGTTGCAGTTATCTATGAAACGCCTAGTGCATTTCATAGTCAGGCTGACACCCAACGCGTCAACCGAACGTGCATCCCGTGGCGCGATCGTGCTCAGTGAACCCGCTAATTACCACCGTAGCCACGCGCTTTTCCTCCGCTTAGGCTGTTCAAACACGCGCCAGGTCAGAGGATGGAGGGGGAGAAAGGCCGCAGTCCTCTCATCCCGGGACTTGTGCCATGCCCACCTGTTCCCAAGGTGGCCACCTCTCCCCTGCCCAGGCCCCCACAGTAGACACGCCAGCCCGCTTCTCCACCCGCCCCGCTTCTGCCTTCATCCGCAGACTTGCAGAACTTCCCTCCTTTCCCACTTGGGCCAGTTTTGCCAGGGCGTTGGGATTCTGGGGTGTTGATTCTCAGGAACCCAGAGGTTTCTGTTTCATTGCACAGTCGGCAGTCATCCAGTCGCTGAATGAAGCAACCACTACACCAAAACAACTGCACAGTGCGCGGCAAGACCGATCTTACTTGGTTTCACAAGCATTTGGCAAAGAGCATGGAGTGTGAGCATCCTGGATCTCCAGATGCGAAAGTTCACCGGGAGTGTAGGCCTGGTTTACACAAGAAACACCCCTAGCCACAAAACCCACTCCGTTTACTCCCATGGGGTAAGTAAAGCTGGAAAGACCGCCTCTCTGAAAGCAAATAAACCAAGAGGCTCAGCCTGAGATCAAGCCTCCTTCCTGCCGGACTCGCTCCTAACCCCCTCACCTCAACCAACAGGCACCCGGGACCCTGGTGACATGTTCTCCCACCGGACCATTTTCGGCTGAGGCCAGCCTGACATCCTTACCTGGCAGGCTGGGCTACCTGGCCCGTGTCTTGGAGTAGCGTGCGGAAGGGCCCGCCCTCATCGGGCTGGAGAACCCCTCTTGCCTGCCCACAAAGCCCGGCCTCAGTGGGTCAGGAGCATCCCCTTAGCCAGTGTCCAAGCACCTTTGTCTATTCATAGGCGGAGTTGGGCCACTCAGTGCTACGACTCTCAGTATAGCTCCCAAGGGAGGATGGAAGGAGGAGAGAGTCCTCTCAGGAACCCGCAGCAGGGCTGAGTCCCGGGAGCTCTGCCTTTCCCTCCCCATTCCCTCTCCCAGGCAGCAGGTGGGAAGCCCCCTAACCCGCGCGCACCCGTCCCTGGGCGCCTTCGGGACTTGCCATCCTTCTGTACCGAGCCGTGACTAGAGGGCCGGCCTCCCTGGCACGCTGATTGGTAGAGGAGAAGATTGACGGCTCAGGCTGCCTGTTGGCCTGGAGAGGCAGAGCACAGTAGCCAATGACGAGTGAAGGTACGTGTTGGGGGCGACTCCCTGTGTCCGCGTCCAGGTTCCTTGCCGTCAGCTGACGAAGCAGCCGGAGTGAGGAGACCAGGGTGGGTCTAGGGTAATCAGAGAGAACCGATCTGCCCGGGGACGTGAGGGAACCAAGGCTTCCACCACTGGAGTTGAGCGAGATATCAGGGCCTCAAGTCAATGGGGAGGCACGGACTGTGAAGACACCAATCAGGAAGGGCCTCTGTACGAACGCGGGGCGGGGCCTGTTTGAGGAAGGCGGGGCCCATGGCTGATACAGGGCGGGGCCTCCGGGGAGGGCGGGGCCTATAGCCCTGGCACCTCGGGATCCTGGGTGAGGTGCTGCCAGGGCCACAGCGAAGAGGCACGAGGGGAAAGGTTAAGGTAGGTGGGGTCGTTTGGAGACAAATGTGTGCATGAGGCGTTGTTGAAGAAAGAAATCTCAATGAGGAATCTCCCCTTGGTGGAAGCAACATCTGGCTTGGGACGAGGAATCTGCAGGCTGGCCGAATGAAGAACTGGAAGGGTTTGGGGATTTAGAAACAGCCTTGGGCTGACTCCAGGTTGGAGGCGCCTTGGGCCCGTGAGAGATGACCCTGGACACAGTGGTCAGCAGCCTGCACCACACCACCCATCCTCTGGATTGCAAAGTCCTGTTCATGGACACCTGTGGAGACAAGGCTGGGCCTGTCCCAGGCACTGGGGAGGCAGCCTCTATCCGTCGTCCACCCCGGCCACCCATCAGAGTCCTGAAACAGTCAGTCCAGGCCCCAAAGCCGAGGAGCCTTGGGGAGGAGTGGGCTTCTAGGAGCCTCTCTTCCTGCCAATGGGACCCACTCAGGTATTCAGGTTCAGACGGGTGGGGCACTGGGGCAGAAAAAGTGTTAGTCGCGTCCAATTCTTTGCGACCCCATGGACTGTAGCCCGCCAGGTTCCTCTGTCCGTGGGATTCTCAGGCAAGAACACTGGAGTGGGTTTCCATCCCTTCTCCAGGGGATCTTCCCGTCCCAGGGACTGAACCCAGGTCTCCCACATTGCAGGCAGATTCTTTATGGCCTGAACCACCGAGGAAGCCCCACTTGGGCAGGGCTTTAGTCAAAGGCAGCCCTTAACGAGCTGCTTCTCTCCCTGAGGCTCAGACTCTTAATATGCAGACTGAGCAGTGATGCCTACCTAAGCTCTACCAATAACCAATAACCGGGGCTTTCACCCTGAGGTTGTTAAGCTGACAGTGCTCCCCAGAAGGGGACGCCACCTCAGGTGGTCTGCCCTGAGCAGGTCTACTGCAGGTCAGGCCCCCCTGCTGTCCACACCAGTGGAGTCTGGTGGGCCTGTCCCCTGCCAGGGTGCAGACAGCTGTGCTGGCCCTGCGCTAATCCAGTTTGACCACATGTCACCAAAGATTTGGAGCCTCTTAGCTCATGCCTATCTACCTGGTTGCCAAGGGCATTTGCTGGGGCAGGGGTCTATGTTCCTTGGTTGTCTGAGCCCAGCACAGCCCTGCCATTCATCTTCTCAACTTGACTCAGCCTGTCTGGAGCCCAAGGGCTGGGGGTGGCCGTGGGAAGTTCTTATTCCTTGGTTATCTCCTCCTCACAACCAGCCTGGTCCAGCTACCAAGGAAGGTCTCCTCAGTGTGGGGACATGTCCCCTGAATCTGGAAGTCAGGATGTGGAGAGCAGGCTGCAGGAAGGGGTCTGCAGTCCCCATTTCTCCAGTGGCATTGAGGAAGGCTTGTTTGGCTGTCAGGCCTGTCGGGGCAGCAGCAGGTCCTACCAAAAGAGTGGGGATACCCTAGGCCACAGGATTTACAGGCCCTGCTGTACCCACTGTGGCAGTTCTAGATCAGTCCTGGGCTAGACTTGACTTAGGCACACTTCCTGGCACAGAGAAGATTCACCTGCCATGGGAGGAAAGCCAGCTGCTTTGCCTTCAGGAATGTCCTCCTGCATTTGGTCTGCTGAGCCGGCCCTCCAGGGTGGAAGACTGTCCCCTTGCCAAAGAAAACACATGTGCAAAAGGCAGCGGTATGACTCTAGGGCTGCGTGGGTAGACTGCCACTCCCAGTGCAGTGCCTGCACCTGCCTGGCCTCTGAGATGCTGCAGGCCCAGAAAGATGCCCCCCAGACTCCTCAGTGTCTCCTGCGGCGCGGGCCCAGCCTTGTATACATCAGCCCGACACTCCAAGTTCTATCAAGAGTGGCATTTATTCTCCTCGTGGAGGTGCGGCGCTCCGGGGAGCTGGTGCTATTGTGCTTAGGAAGGAGGTCTGTCCGTCCGTCCGTCTGTCCGGCCGGCCCGGCCCCAAACGGGGGCGGAAGAGGGGCGCGGCCCGAGTAAAAATCCCGGCCTGTTCCGGGTGGGAGTATGTACAAGGCGGCGGGGTGCAGGCGGGGGTGGGGGCAAGGCGGGCCGGCAGCCGCAGCCCCCACCCGAGGGCCCCCGCATCTCGGGCCCTACTCATAGAATCAGTACAAAATAGGTGCTACCTAAACGTTCCTTCTACCTGAATTCGCTAAGTCGGTTATTGTGCTGCTTAGTTATGGGGGCGGGAGGGGGCCCATGGCTTTCCACGGCGGCGGGGTGTGGGGAGAAGCGGGAGACCCTGGCCGGCCCATGGCCCTCCGGCCTTCTCCTTAGGTAGGTAGGTAGATAGGCGTGTAGGTTAGGGTGGGGCACCTGTGTGTGCCCGTGCATGCGGGTGTGCCCAGAACAAGTGGGCAGGCCCCGGTCTGGGAGCTGTGTGAACACTGAGCTGGGATGGAGGGGTCTTGGACATGAGCCCTGCTGTGCCGGGCCCTGAGGCCCGGGTCCACCCCTGTGGGAGCCGCTGGGCCTGGTACCCACTGGGATAGGGCTGGCCAGGTCAAATGCTCCAGCATGCACCTTGTCCTCTGACCCGGGACCCTGGCCTGACGTGACAAAGCTGCCATTGCCAGGAGATGGAAGGAATGGGATTCAGTATGGGTGGCCCTGGTGGCGCTGGGCCTTGGGGCCCGGGTGTGTGCCACCTGAGCTGAGGACCCAGGCCCAAGTCAAAGCAGAGCCCCCTGTGCCTAGCACTGGTCCCACGCTGGGGCGGGGAGGGGTGAGGGCCCACACTTGGGTCTAGGGACCGCGGCTTTCTCTGCACCTGTGACCATCCCTGGCCCACCAAAGCCAGTTGGATCCCTCCACCAACATGCACCTTCCCTCAGGTCGTCGCACTCCTGGCGGACTCAGCAGTGGGCCTGGCACATAGTAGGTGCCTAATGCAGGATGAGTGGGTGATGGACGACTGAAGGAGGGGTCTTGGGGACAAACACCCCGCCCCGCCCCTGAGTCTGCGCGTCCGGCCCCGCGCAGCGTCCCTGATCTAGGGGCCTATGGGGTGGGTAGGGCAGGGGAATACCTGATTCTCAGTAACTCTAGAGGCGGCGGCAGCTTCGCATGCAGTGCGCATTATTGCTCTATAGTCGGCTTCGGACTAACTAAGAGGGACTGGGAGCGGGCAGCTCCGGGAAGGGACGGGAGAGGGGCTGGGGCTGCATGCAGTGACGTCACAAAGGCGGCGGCCAATGGGGCGGGCCCTTGGGGCGGGGTCGTCGCCGAGGCTTTGGCATAGACGGGTGTAAGTTGGCAACAGAGTGAGGGCGGGGTCTGGGGCTCGGGGAGGGGGCCGGCCTCTGAGAGGCGAGGCCTGCTGCTCCCGAGAGGCGGAGCCCAGGTGGGCGGGGTTCGGGGGCGGGGAAAATGATTCTGGACATCCCAAGCCCCCGGCGTCGGCGGGAAGGATAGGGGCCTCTGCGCCCCTTCCCGGACCCGAGTGCAATCCGTTCATAAATAAAACGTACAAATACAGAAAGAAAACCCGACGCATCCGCAACCCCCCTAGGGGGCTTTACCCGCAAAGCGAATACAGAGAGGTGTGTAGAGGGCCGTGCCCAGGCCTGCCTGCCGGGCCCCAGGAATCTGTCCTCCAACACCGAATGCCCGGGTACGAGGGAGGGGGCCCCGGGGCAGGGCGGGAGCGGGGTCTGAGGAGGTCGGATAAGTCCATGCGGTTTGATATGCGTCATTATTATTCATTATGGAGGACAGAGCCTGGGAAGCTGGGCTGGAAGAATTCGGATTTGGCAGAGGATGAGAGACGAGGGTAGGAAAGCGGCTCGGACTGAGGCCCCGGAAGGAACCCAAGGGAGAGAGGTGCCGCCGTCCGCCCCAGTCCCCGATCGGCACGCGTCTAACACTCCAAGGGCTCAGCGGACACCGAGGAGGAGGCGCAGGTAGCCTCTGCGCCCCTCACCCTGCTCCTCCCCCGCTGCTGCTCCCCAACGTCTAGGCCGCAGGCCGGGCTCTGGAAGGCTTGGGAAGGGGTGGGGAAGACCTGAGTCTCTGCCACGCGATCCAGGGGCGCAGAAGAGGGAGGAGGGGGCGCTCCCTACCTCACCCCACCCCGGTCTCAGAGACCTAACTCGGAGATGAGGTTCGGTTCTGGGTCTCCTAGACCCTATTGCTGGGAAAAAGCCTGGGGCACCCTGGAGGGGAAGGGAGGGGGCTCGGGGTGGGTCTCCCCTCGGGACCCTATTGCTTGAAGGGGCCGGGAAGGCCCCTGGCGGGCGGGGCGGGGCCGGGCCCCCTCCCCCTATTGCTGTGAGGAGGGGCCCGCCCTCCGGCCCCTCCGCCTGGTCGCCGGCGGAGACCTCCCTGGGGGCCCGTATTGCTGAGAGCCAACCCGTCTGGCGGAGGTACCGCCGCCCTAGGCCTGCACAGGGCTGAGCTGCGGCGGCGCGGTGGGCGCAGGGGCCGGGGGACCGCCGCCGGCGGCGCCCTTGAAGCAGGCCGACTCGTAGTGCTTGTTGAGATAGGACTTGAGCGCGAAGCTCTTCTTGCAGCGCTTGCACTGGAAGTGCTTGAAGGCGGAGTGCGTCTGCATGTGCGCGCGCAGGTTGGAGCGGTCGGCGAAGGCCTTGCCGCAGTGCGCGCAGCCGAAGGGTTTCTCGCCGGTGTGGGAACGCATGTGGCCCTGCAGCAGCCAGGGCCGCGAGAAGGCCTTGCCGCACACGCCGCACTTGTGGCGCAGGTCGTGCGTGAGCAGGTGCATGGCCATGGCCGGCATGGACACGTACACCTTGCCGCACGTCGGGCAGCGCCGCGCCAGCTGGCTGTCCAGGCTGCGGTGCGTCTGCTTGTGGCGGCTCAGGTTAGACGACGTGGCATACGTTTTGCCGCACTCGCCGCACGCGTGCCGGCCTCCGGAAGAGGAGGGGGCGGCGGCGGCGCTGGCGTTGGCTGCCTTACGACGGGAGCGCCCGTCGGTGATGAAGAAGGCGTCAGCTGCGTAGCCCTCGCTGACCGCCGCGTCGCCATTAATGTATCCACCCGCGGCTGTGGCCAGCTCCGGGCGCGGGGTGGGCGGCGGCGCCGAGCCCGCGGCCGCCGGGCCCAGCTCTCCCCGCACGGCCGCAGCGTACATGGGCTCCGGGGATGGCCCTTTGAGCAAGGCCGCCTCGGCATCGCCATCGTAGACGGAGGCGGGCCCCGCGTAGTCGTTGAGGTATCCTAAGGGCCGAGGTGGACAGACAGGCAGACAGCGGGAGGGGAACCGGGCAGCAGGCAAGACACACAGGAGGGTGGCGAGAGACACCGGGGCCGGCAAGAAGGGAACGGGGAGGACAAAGGATAAGGGGCCGAGGGAGAGTGGGGCAGGGAGGATGGCGATGGCAGGGAAGGGAGGAGAGAGAGGAAAGATGAGCCAAGGCCTGGCCGGGCTGCACCCCGCCCTCGCTGGAGGAGGGAAAGACTCGCATCTTCGGGCGCGGCTGCCCCCCCCCCCCCCCCCGCTTCCGCGGAGCTTCAAGGTCAGGGGGGAGGGGCGGCGCTTCCCTCGCCCTTCTTTCCCTCCTCCCCTCCCCCTCTCCCTCCCCCTCGGGTTCTCCCCACTTCAGCAGTTTTTCTTGATTATGCAACACACTGCAGAACCGCAGCGCACAAAGCCAGGACCGCCTGTCCAGGGACCCCGTCGCTCCTGCTCTCACGGTTCCCACTGGCTCATCCACCGTGCCCAGCGCCTGTGTCCAGCCTCGGTGCTGCCCTGTTCTGGTGCTCCGGGTCTCCCAACAAGCCTCGGAGAATTCTACCTCCCTTTCATCTTCCAGGTCTCCCACTGCTCACTAGATTTGACCACCTTCCATTCCAGCTCTGTCTCCCTCCATCCACTCTGTTTCTCCCCACTCCACTCCTTTCCGTCATCCTGCACCGTTGGGTACCACCTTGTTCCACATTACCCCCTCCCCCCAGGCCCTAATCCTTTGTGGGGCCTTCCTGAACCCCAGGAAAGGTGACCAGGGAGACACTGTGTTGGAGGCGGTGCCAGGGCATGCACCAGTGGACACCTTCACAGGGACAAGCTGCAGGCAGGCAGCATTATTCATGCCTGCAACTGCAGTTGTTCTCAAGGCATGAGATGGATCTCACAACCTCAAAGTCTCAAATACACGCCCCACACGACCAAAGAGTCTGGCTTCTTCAGAGTTACCCTCAGCCTCTCAGACTCTGTCAATTCTGGAGTCCCCTCAGGGTGGGCCGCACCCTGAGCCAGGCCTGCACCACCTACTCACGCAGGGTCAGACATGCAGCCAACCAGACACACTCTCAGCTGGGGTTGCCAGTCACATGGGCACATAGCGGCCTCAGAGTCACATGGTCCCATGTAGTGGCACACAAGACAGGCACACACTCATACAGGGTCACACACAAGTGAACATAGTCACATGGCCACACGCAGTCACATGGGTGCACACAGGCTCGCACACAGGCTTATGTTCCTGCAGGTCACACTTGTTTTACCACCCCAGGCTGCTGGCACTCCCAGCCCCCTTGCCCACTTGCTAGCAATTGTCCTTGGATTTGGGCGCCCTGACACAAAGAGCCTCCCCCTGCCTCCAGCACTTGGACTTCCCTGCCCACAGCCCACCTGCCCACACCCTTCTCCCTGACCCTGCTCCAGGGACAGGGGCACTGCTGCTGCCTCTGCCCCGACAGGTGGGCGGCCCCCACTGGACCACATGGCTATTCCCTGGAGCTCCTAGCACTTCCTAGCAGGGGAGGCTAGAGGTGCAGCCAAAGAAAAGAAGAGGGCTCTGAGGCAGGCTGTTTTCTGAGTGTGGTCTGCATACATTGCTGGGTCCTGTCATGTCAGCAGGGTCCATTCTGTGTTGGTCAGGGCGTGGGTCAGTGTGTTCTTCCTGTTCCTGACCCCTGTTCCCCTCGTTCTCTCCTGCATCCATGCTCTCCCTGCCCAGCCTTGGCTCCGTTCTGGCCTGCCTCTGCGTTCCCCTCTCGCTACCCCCATCCCCTCCCAGGTCCTCTTCAGCCACTGCCTCCTGCTGGTTCTGGTTCCTCCCGAGCCTATTGCCTGGGGTTCCTGGTCCCTCCAGCCCCACTCTATGACCCTCTACCCCTTCCAGCACTGAGCCCCTTGCCCGCCACCCCCAGCCCCATCCCAGCTCGCACCTTTCTCCTGCAGTCGCACGCCGAGGTCGCTCCGGGCGCGCCCGTAGGAGCTCTCGAGGTCTGCCGAGGAGAATGTGTCAAGTTTGACCTTCTTGACCAGGAAGGATCTGGGCATGATTCCTGCGGGGCTCCGGCGCTGTGGGCCTGCGGAGCCGGGACGCGGGGGGGCTGCGGCCGCGGCGGGGCCCTGTCACCATCCGAGGAGCGGCTGAGGCAGCGCGGGTCCCCACTCTGGCCTCTGGATGCTGCCGCGCGGTGCCGTCCTCTCTCCTGCCTGCCCGTCCTGCGTTTCCTCCTCTGCTGCTCCGGACCCCTTTTTCTCCTTCCTTCCTTTTCTTCTATTCTTCACTGCTCTTCTCTTCTCTCTTCTCTTCCTTCGTTCCTTCCTTTCCTCCTCTGGTCCCGGCTTCCCAGCCCGCAGTGCCGCCCCTGGACAGGCGGGGGAGGAGGCATGGACGAGGGAAGGTGGGAGGGAGGGATGGGGGCTCCGGGGGCGGGGCTCGGCGCTCGGACAGCTCCCGGGCCCAGCCTCCTGCGCCCGCGGCCGCCTCTGCCTGCGGCCCGGCCCAGCCTCCGGCTTTTAAAGCCCAGGAGCGACGGCAGGGGGAGGGAGGGGTGGGGGAGAGGACGGCGGAAACGGCTGCGCGGGGCCTGGCCCCCGCCAGGGTCTCCTGGGAGGGGTCTTGGGGATGCCACGGTCCCAGCTCGTGTGGAGTTCCCCCGAGAGGCTCCGGGAACGGAGGCCCAGACGTCTGCAGCATTGTGCGGCGTGGGAGGAAAGGTGGGAGCAGACCTAGGGCCCACGAGCCCGGACTCGGGATCTTTGAGGGAAGAACACAGGGCGGACCCCAGAATGGTCGGTCCGGCCAGCCCAGCTGTCGGGTGTGGAGGCGAGGGATCTGCGGGGGCAGGTGGGGGAGGCGAGCGAAGAAGCAGCGAATGCTGAGGCAGTGAAAACGCTGTGTGGAAGTGCTGCGCGCACCCTGTGCCGCAGTGTGTCCCTGCCCCTCGGTCACCCGGGCTGACCCCGTGCCTGCTGGAGAGGCCTTCTGCACCCCTGCCCTTCCCCCAAGGGGCGGAGGTCGAGTGCAGCTGCGACGCAGCGAGCGGAGTGTGAAGGCGGAGAGGGGGGCTGTTGTGCCCTTGCTCCAGAAATTCGGTTTCACTTGTGGTTTTCCGCCCTCCCGCGCGCCTGCAGCTCCCCCACGCGGCCCCGCAACCAGGCGGATAACCCTTCCCCCGGCCGCCCGCCCAGAGTTTACAGCCCGCATGACGTCTGGCCCAGCGACCAATGGCTGGCGCGGGGGTGCGGGGAGTTCCGGGCCGCACAATGGCCGCGCGCGGGGACATATGTCCCCAATTAGGGCCTGGCGCCGCCATTGTCCCCTCACGCGCCCCCGCCCTTGGCTCGGGTCTCCCTGCTCCGAGCGCGCCCCCAAGCGGCCGGCTGTCTCTGGGGGCCAAGGTCGCAGGGGCGGCCTCGGGACTGTGCGGGCGCGCCGCGGCCGGGAGCGCGTGCGAGACGGGGGCGCGCGCACCTGTCGCGGCGCGCGGTGACCTTGTGCGGGGCTGCTCGGCGGGCCCGCGGACCCGGCCGGACGCGCGGCTAGAGGGCTGCTCCGGAGGCGCGCTTTCGGCGGCGCGCCGCCACCCGCCGATCTCTCGGCTTCACCTAGCGTCGCAACACAGGAGCCGAGCGAGCGTGGCTGTGAGCGAACCGGCCCGGCGCAGGGCGCGGGGCGCGGCAGGGACCGCAGACCCGCTTTGTGGCGGCGGCGGGATATTCATCTTGCGTGGCTGGTGCTCCCGAGGGGCGGGAACGGGACGCGGCCGCCCCCTTATCGCGGAGCCGCAGCCAGCGGGGTCCGCAGTGGGGGCGGGGGCAGGGATCCCGCTTGGCCGAGCGGCTCATCCCTGCGCCTTCCCGGGGGGCCCGGCGGAGGCGCAGCCGGAGGCGCAAGTCCAATTAGCATTTTGATTGCGGGACTGGGGGCCCATCTGGACCGAGGCCTAATTACCGGGCGAACCCTCGGGGCGCCAGCGGGACGTGCCAGGCGCAGTCCCTTCAGCCGGAGCTCCCCACCTCCCGCAAAGTCCGCCCCGACACTGCGGTCGGACCGCGTCCCTGTCCACCTCTGTTGGTCCCATCGCCCCGTCGTCTGTCGTGCGCTTTTGTTCCTCCACCTCGTCCTCTTTCACTCCCTTTACCCGTCCTTGGCCCCACTCCGCACCTCTTTCCTCAGTCACATTCCTCCATCGCCCTCCACTTTCCCCTCATCTCTGTCTTCATTCAGGCTTTCTTCAGCCAACTTCTCTGTTTCTCCTTCCCCGGCTCCTGGTGCCAGTTCCTGCCTCTCTGTCAATTTCCCATCCCCTGGCTCCCAACGCTCTTGATGACAGGGCAGTGTCAGAGCACGACACATGTGTCCCCCCGCCAGGCGCCCCCAAGGGGATCATCTGGGCCGCCCTTGCTTGCCCTCGCGTGGGTAGAGCCTGCAGCCCCTGGGGCGCTCAGCAGGGAGGGGCAGCTGGGCCTAGGCCCTGGCCATCAGTCCAGAACAGTCAGAGTGTGGAGTGCACATGGGGCCCGTGAGCAATTACTCAGTCCTCCTCGCCTGCCTCCTTTCAGGCACCCTGAGGTCGAGGTCACTGTGTCCCACGATGGGGTCCAGCCCACCAGGGAGAAGCTCGGAAAGGACAGTTGGAGATACTAACGCTTTTGGAAAGTTGCAGCCCCTTCCCCTCGGGCCACCATGAGTCTTCCACTGGGGCCTTTCTGCGGAAGAGGAGACCGGGGTCTCAGTGGCAGACCCAGTGGTTCCGAGCACTCCAGCATCCCAGGTGTGTGCACGCACTGCACCCCGAGGAGCCTCTCAGCCTGAAGGTCTCAGTTGCCCCATCCTGCTTCACATTGCAGCAGCAGCTCCTCATCCATGTCAGATGGGAAGGATTTGGTGTTGGTTCTGTGTTTCTCTGCCTGCCTCTGCTTCTAGGTGTGTGCGGCCTGGCAGGTCCCAGGTAACCAAAAAGTCAGACTTTAGGGGGAGACTCGCAGGTATTTTACTACACAAGAAATGAGGCTTCACCAGAAAAGACATTAAACAACAAATATGCAAATTCAGATTTTGGGGTTTGTTTTGGGTTTTTTTACATTTCATTATAGAAAATATCAAATATGCACAAAAGTGTAGAGCGTCAGACTGTGTGCCTGTCACCACCATCACCTAAGACCAGTTCACAACCAATCTGGGCTCATCTCTGTCCCTCCCCCCATCACAAACTGCCACTTTTCTCTTAGGAAATAAAGACGTGAGAGCAGGTGGGCCTGGCTGTTGTATCAGAGACCCCCAGCCTCCTGCTCTGAGTTGATCTAGCCCTGCCTGGGGATACCAGGAAGTCCCACTAGGCTCTGCCTGCTTCCTTTTTGGGGAGGAGCATCCCCTTAGCCTGCTGTGTCCAGGGTCTCCAGCTGGCTATTGGTGAGGCCAGCCTCCCCAAAGTGGCCCAGGTCCCTCCTCAGTCCAAGGGATCCAGCTGCCAGAACCACTCACAGTCTCCGTCTCTCATCTTCAGCCTAAGCTGTAACTCGCAGAGAATTGAAACACCTTTGTGCCCGAGTTCCACGTGTTAACATGGAGTCTGCCCGATCAAGTCACCAGGGACTTGAGTCCAGGAGTGTTCTTTGGGGAGTTTTAGAGGAGACTCCAGAGCAGGGACAAAGTGAGCCCTGGGGAGGAGGGAGAAGGTGACCAGAGAAAGGCCAGCGCCAAGGTTGGCTCTGGCAGAGGGCAGCCGGCTGCCATCCTGCCTGCACTGCAGAGAGGCTTGATGGGTGGTGGCCTGGCAGCCTGTACTTCCTGATATAGTGTGGGCCCCGTATGCTCGTTTCCCTGACCTTGCCACGGGGTTGCCACTTTCATTCAACATCTGCTCTGGAACTTGGTGCCCATGGCCTGGAGCAGGCTCCTCCCCTGGTCTCCCCAGACCGAGGACAGGCTTGCGGCCCCCTCTCTGCTGCCCATTTAACCTTCTCACTCTCACAGGAACCTGAGACCACACTTCCTCACCAAGGGCACTGGTCAGTCTTCTAAACACTTGCTGGCCTACGTCCCACCCTCCATTGCCACTCCTGGGACTTTTCTGTGGGGTACACACATGACACATGGCCTCTATTGTCCTCCTGGGAAGGACTCTGGTTCCATTGCCTACAGGGGACACCTTCAGCTGTCAGAGGCTCCAGGGGTTGCTCCTGGCCCCACATTCCAGCCTTCTAGTGGTGACCAGCACCCAACGGCTGATCAATGCGGAAGGCAAAGACCTGGGGTCTCAGCCTGATGCGTGATGTCTCTGGTAAGCCATCCTGACACTGGAGCCCTCGAAGGTGCTAGGCTGGCCTTGGCCCTCCTGCTTTCTCTCTTTCCTCCTCGGGGTTGACCAAAGGGCATGTCCTCACACTGCTGCCTCAGTGGCTCCCTTTTGGAGAACCTAGACAGGCGTCAGGAACAAACGGTCCAAGAAGGCAGGCAGCAGGAACTTGGGCAGACTCACCCACTGCCTGGCTGGCAGTGAGGACCCATCAGTGGTACAGGCAGAACTCAGGCCGAAGCTGAAGGCCGAGGTCTGATGGTTAGACCTTTGGCCAGCGGTGAGCAGGGATCACACAGCAGGGAGGAAACGTGGCAGCAGGCCCAGGACCTGGTGTTTGGGAAGTGCAGGAGCAGCAATCACCGAAGGGACTAGGGGTGGGATGGCTGTGGTTCAGCTCTATTGATGCCCCAGAGGGAGGACAGCAAGAGGCGGAGAGCTTTGTCTAGCTGCTGAAGGCCCAGCCCCTTGGTCACATGTACTGAGGCAGGCTCCCAACTCTGCAGCCAAAGTGCAGAGGGTAGTGACGGTCAGGCCTTGACTTAAGCATCAAACTAGTTGAACTCCAGAGAAACTGAGGTGGATGTCACTTCCAGCACAGAGTGCAGTTACAGGAACCAGATTTACCACCCTACCTGGAACAACTAGAGAACTGGACAAAATAGGGCTTCCCTGGTGGTCCAGTAGTTAGGAATCTGCCTTGCATGGGACATGGGGTCGATCCCTGGTCCAAAAGGATCCCATGCGCCACAGAGCAACTAAGTCCATGCAACACAACCACTGAGCCTGTGCTCTGTAGCTCACAAGGCACAACTACTGGAGTCTGGCACCCTAGAGCCCATACTCTGCAACAAGAGAAGGCACCGCAAGGAGAAGCCTGAGCACTGCAACTAGAGAGTAGCCCCTGCTCTCCACAACTAAGGAAAGCCCACACACAGCAACAAAGACCCAATGCAGCCAAAAATAAATAGCTTTTTAAACTGGACAAAATAGATGAAACAATGGGCCTCAAGACATTGGTACTGGACAGCAAAGGACAGTGACCCCTGAGAGGGCCATACCCAAGAAAGGACACCTGAGGAACCTCATTTGTATGTGGACTTGACTTAGAAGCAAGATCCTGGACTTGCAGTCTGAGCTGAGTTCTGGGATGGGAAGAGACGCTGGAGGTCTTGGGAGGAGCCAGATGGTGGACTGTGGTGGGCTACTTACATTCGTGGCTCCCAGGATCCTGCTGGTACTCACACATTTGGTAGATCCTTCCCATTCTGGCTCTGGGTTTGGCCACATGACTTACTTATCCATTGGGATATAGTATGAATGATGCATGCAGATGGTGCACACTGTAGCCCCTGGATCTTGTCCTCTTAAAACACTCCCTCTTGCAAGCCAGCAGCAAGATAGTCTGCTGAATATTGAGACACTTGAAAAGCGGCCCTGGAGGATGGGGGTCATCTTGGACATTCTGGCCCCAACTGAGATCCCAGCTGATGTAGTCATATGAGCAATTCCAGCTACACATATGGAGTGGAACCACACAGCTGAGCCCAGCCAGCCCACAAAACCATGACAACAAGTACATCATTGCTGTTTGAAGCACTGGAGATCAGGGTGCTTCTTTGTATCCACTTGTCTTCCACCCTTGAGTCCTTCCTTCACTGTTCTGCCTGCCCAACTCAAGTCCCACCCTGGATTCCTTTCCAGCCTGCATCCAGCCCACCTGCAAATCCTGTCTGCTATGGCCTCAATGGGGCTCAGACCTGCCCACGATCCTCTCTGTTCCCCTGTGCCCTTCTCTCCCTGCACAATTCCGGCAGCCTTCCTTCCGGTCCTTCCCCACACCCTCCTCAGATGGCAGTACATCTGTGCTTACAACTCCCCAGAGATTTCCCGAGGCCCCGGTCCCCTTCCTCAGCCCAGCCTGTCTTCTCATGTCTTCTCCTACACGTCCAGTTCCACCCTGCATCACACCTTCACACTCCCTCTTCCCAGAAGTCTCTCCCCCAGAGCTCCACACGATCGCAACTTCTCATATCAGCTCAAATGCTGAATCCTTGCAAAGCCCCAATCCCCTAGCTGGAGGAACCCCACCCTCCTCCAGCCACTTTGCCAGCAAAGAAGTATGCGCTTCAACCTGGGTCACCCTTAGGTCATCAGCTCCAAGTAGGTAGAGGCTTTGGGTCACTGGGTGGAAACAAAGCCCACCCTAAAGCCTCACTGACTGACCGAGTGGAGCCCAAGCTTCTGGAGCCCAGGCAGCTGGCATGCCTTTCTAACCCCTGTCCACATCTGACAGACAGCCTGGGCATCCCAGGCCTGGCTTGGTCACAGGCACTCACCCAGGCAGCTGAGCCCCTGGCTCACATTCCACACTCCATACCTCCCTGCTGCACTGACCCCCAAACTAACCCAGTACCTCCACAGCTGGGCTCTGCCCAACTTCTTGAGCCCATCTCCTGGTAGAACCCCTCCTGAGAGGTAGGGGTTCCTAGCCTTGAGCCATGAACAACAGTTGCTCCCTGGGATTGCCTAAAGCCATCCGCCTAGCCTCCAGACTCCACTCCAGAGATGGGCAGAGATGCTGGAAGCCAAAAAGTGAGCAACACTGAGCCAGGGGTCCAGGCAGTGTCTGGGAGCCAGTGCTTGGTTTAATGCTCTAGTGCTGCCATCTGGAAATTAATAACTTTTTAACAAGGACCTCTGCATTTTCATTTTGCATGGGGCCCTGCAAATAATGCAGGTGGTCCTGGTTCCAGGGACACTAAGCTGGCATGAAGCACAAAGACCAGACTGGGGTCATGGACATGGCCCTGAGGAAAAACCCTGACAGGAAACCGAGGTGACTTCTCTGCTCCCACAGCAGCCTCCAGCACCCAGGAAGCAAAAACACCCGCTGCTCAGAGAACGTGGGACTGGGGCCCCACAACTCAGGCAGGAGCATGCTCCAGGGGCACTGTGGGTCTGTCCCCAGCAGGCCTTGAGCTCTGGCCCGGGTGCAGCAGCAACAACTCTGGGGAGTGGAGAACACCAGAAGACACAGGGCTTGACTTTTGGCTGTGCCCTTGTCTCATTTCTGATTGGACTAGAAAAGGCATCTGGCCCAGACTGGACCAATCAGATTCTGACTCATTGGTCAGCACTTCTGAACATGGAAGGCAGTGTGTCCCACACGTGTCCTAGATGCCTGGCTGCTTGTCAGGCTCAGTCCCACTACTACCATCTTCCAACCCAAACTCCCCGCTGCTGCCTGGAAGCCTCCCTGAGGCCCTGTAGGCTGTGCAGGAGGGAAGGATCCTGGAGAGGCAGCCCCTACTCGCACAAAGAAAACAACCTGCTCGAAGCAAGAGGTTGCTTTATTGAGAAGGCCAGTGGTAGGGTGGAGGCGGGGGATTGGAGGGGAAGGCAGAACGCCTCTTGGGGTGGGAGAGGGGTGGGTGCCTGCTGGCAGCATCACACGTCTGGGTCCCACTGAGGGTTCCCCCCGTCGTAGGCCCCGGTCTTGCGCAGCACGATGCCCGGGCTGAAGGCGGTCCCCAGCGGCCAGTGGCGGACCACGTGCCGGTATGACATGGCCAGGCAGTCAAAGTAGTTAATGTTGAGCTTCCTGGCAATGTACCGGCCCAGGTATTCCATTTGCTGCGTGAGCAGGTGGCGAGTGGAGGTCAGGTCAACTCTTGCTCGTCCCTCCCCTTGCCAAACCGCACCTCCAGCCCTGCCCATCAGCCCTGGCACCCTTTCTGCTGGCTACCAGCTTGAGGGCCCGGGCCAGGAGCCCACTGTATGCACCATCCAACTGCGAAATGGCCTCATCTTAAGAGCCTAAACAGTGGTCGGCGTCCCGTTGGACCGAGAGGGGAGAGAAGCGTATCTGCGCCCGCGGCGGGTTGGGTCGGACGCACCTCGTAGCGCTCCGACAGCTGCACCAGCACTAGAGGCTCCAGCTTGTGCCCGCACAGAACCAGCTGGAAGAAGCACCTTCGGTAGGCTAGTAAGGGGCAAGTTGCTCAGCCCCGGGACTCTGGGGAGCGGGAGCGGGGCTCCGGGGGTGGGGCGTGGGCCCGCGTGTCCGCCCCTCCCCACTCCACGTGACTTCCCGTCCCTTGCGCTCCCTCCCGTAGTCCGCGGCCCTTCCCTCGCATCACCGTCCGAGTTGAGCGCCAGGCGCACGTAGACCAGGTGCATGGGGCCCTGACACACGGTGCGGCCCTGGATGGAGAAGTGGTACACGCCGCGCGCGTGGTTCAGCACTAGGCGGCGCCGCGGCAGCGACGAGATCATAAGCCACAGGCCCACGCCCACGCCGTAGGCAGGGAAGCCCCAGGTCTCCTGCTTCTGCACCTGCGGGCGCCGCAGGGACTCCCTGAGCCGCCGCGGGTCCGGGCGCAGGGTGGGGCCGGGTCCCCGGGGTAGGAAGGTCGTGGGGCGCGCCTGGGAGCTCAGACCTCGCTCACGAGGCCGAAGCTGATGAGCAAGATGCAGACTATGAAGAGCAGCGTCCCCTTCCACAGCGTGTCCAGGTAGTACTCGAGCACGAAGACTGGGGGCGGCGCGGCGAGGACGCGTGAGGACACCGGGCTCCTGCTCGCTGCCCGAGGTGGCAGCGCCAGGGCTCGGGCCCGGAACAGCCCGCCCCACGTAGGGCCCGGGCTCGCGGTCAGGGTCCAGCCTGCGGTTCCAGCGCTTAATCGGGCCGCAGCAGGCCGGGCCCAGGGCTCTGGCCCGGCCCCGACCCGCCCCAGTTTCAGCGTTGGAGTCCCGGTCCCTGACTTCGGTCCGCGCGCACCGTTGGGCTGCTGCTGCGTGAACGGGTAGAAACTGTTGTTCTTGAGGCGCCTGGCGAGGCTGCGCTCGGTGCAGAAGAGTCCTTGGGCCCAGAGCTGGAAGGGCTTACCGCTAGAGGTCGTAGGCAGGCCGCTGATCCGGCCCTTCGGGGCCTGGGTCGGGTACGGACAGTCAGATGGGCGGCTCATCTGTTGCCACTGCCCACTGCCCACAGCTACGCTCATACCTGGGAGAATAATGCCTCCAGGGCCGCGGTCAGGAAGGAGCAGGAGCTCTGAGACGAAGACAGGGGAGCGACACCAGGTGGCCGTCTAGGCTGCGCGGCGCCGGGTTCTAGAAGCTCTGGGTAGTTGGTTCTAGAAGGGACCTTTCTGTTGTGGTGGGCGTGAACTTCCCGGCTAGCCCCTGCCCCACTGGAGGCCCCCCTATACAGCCTGGCTCACATTACGTGCTCGGATCATGCCTGCTGGCCTGCACGATGTGCCATGTCAGGGTCAGTGCTTTATGGGTGGTAGGTGGGCAGGCAGGATACAGGGATCCTTGCCCACCCAAAGCTCATGCTCACTGCTCTCACCTCCAGAGCTGGAGCGGCTTCACCTGGGCCTGTACGGCATGTCAGACCGGCTGACTCTAGCCAAGGAAGGCAGCCCTCTGCTCACCCAGAAGTGGTGTCACAGTCTGCGGGAGCTGGACTTGAGTGGCCAGGGCTTCGGTGAGAAGGACCTGGAGCAGGCCTTAGCTGCCTTCTCAGGCACCCCTGGGTGCTCCCAGCTGGCCTGTGCTCCCTCAGGGCTCCGGCCCAGAACGGCCCGCCCCACGCAGGGCTCGGGGCGCCTTCGGGCGGGTTCAGCCTGGATTCCAGCGCCAAATCTGGCCGCAGCCGGCCAGGCTAGGGGCCCCTCGCTTCGGCCCCGCCCCCACCCCCCGCCGGATTCCAGTCCCCGCCCTGCGTCCCGGCCCTTTAGTCCCTGACTGAGGTCCAAGTCAGCCTTAACAGTGAGGCATCCCAGGCCTAAGTTGGAGAGAAATCGGCAGGCAAGTGCCCACAAGGAGCCCATAACTGAGCGTGATCACCCTCTCTCCATTGCTAGCTCTGTCCTAGTCAGCCTCACATACTATCAGAGGCAGCTCACCTTAGTGCCCTAGGGTGGGTCACACATGCACACACACTCAGTCCAGGAGGTAACTGGCAAGGCACAGCCACAGGCAAACTCAGGAACTCTGGGGGATAACCCCAAGTAGTTCCCTCAGGGACAACCCCTGTCCCCTCACTCTGATCCCAAAGACCACACAAGAGTTCCAGAAAAGGTTTTATTATAACAAAACACTCAAATATCCAAAACTGGGAAAAGAGGCAGGGCAGGGCTGGCTGGCAGAGGGGCCTGGAGCTGCCTAGCTGGGGGAGGGGAGGCTGGTGAGCAGCTGCTCCAGGCACCATTGGACTTCCTCTGGGCCTCTGTAGGCCTGCTTCAGGCCCCGGGGAAGGCAGCGGCAGGATTCCAGGTTGAGGTACAGCAGACCTGGGCAGCTGCTTATCACAGAGCTGTGGAGGCAGGGCAGGCCATGGCAGGTTAAGCACTGGCAGGGCTGAGCCAGTCTAGGGAACCCTTGCTACCCTTGCACCAAAGCTGGCTACGCCCCCTACACCCATTGAGGCCCACCCTGAGTACCCTGGGTGTCCCTAAGGCCAACCCCAAGCAGGGGCTTGGCCTGTATGGGCTCCCTTTTCTGACCCCTGGAGCTGGCAAGCCATGCAGGACGGGAGCTAAGCTATACTGGCTCCAAGGAACTAGGGGGTTGCTAACCTAACTGTGCCCGGTGTGACTCGAGTGCCCCTGAGGTTGAGGGAGCACAGGGCCAGCTGGGAGCACCCAGGGGTGCCTGAGAAGACAGCTAAGGCCTGCTCCAGGTCCTTCTCACTGAAGCCTTGGCCACTCAAGTCCAGCTCCCGCAGACTGTGACACCACTTCTGGGTGAGCAGAGGGCTGCCTTCCTTGGCTAGAGTCAGCCGGTCTGACATGCCGTACAGGCCCAGGTAAAGCTGCTCCAGCTCTGGAGGTGAGAAGAGCGGGTATGAGCTTTGGGTGGGCAAGGATCCCCGCATCCTGCCTGCCCACCTGCCACCCAGGAAGCACTGACTCTGACACGGCAGATCATGTAGGCCAGCAGGCGTGATCCGAGCACAGCCGCGCAGATCCAGCAAGCGCAGGTGAGGGGAGCCGTGGAGCAGGCGGCCCAGGACTTCGTTGCTCACAAAGTTACAGGTGGAGCTAGCAAGGCAGAGCTCCTCAAGGCTGGGGAAACCTGGGCCAGGAGTTATCACTCGCCCGGAAGGCTTGGGCAGCCATGTCAGGTTCAACAGCCGCAGCACCTGGGAGCAAGGCCCAGGCTGCAGATGGGGAGGGGGATGACAGGTGCAAGAGATGGGGCGTCAGGTACCTGCAGCTGGGGGCAGCCTTTCTGCAGGGCCTCGACAGGCAGCTGGAAGGGAGTGATGTTGTGGCTGAGGCCAGTGCTCACCTCCAGGACCTGGAGCTGTGGGCAGCAGCTGCCCTGTAGAGGTGGGGAAAACACGAGGTCGGGTGTTTGGCAGTCCCTGGCTTGGCATCCAGCTCTGCTCCTGACTGTCACCAACCTACCAGCAGTGCACCCAAGATGGCTGTTGTCTGGGGGTTGTAGGTCAGCCACAGCTTCCGCATTCGGGGTCCAGCTTCCTCCAAGAAGCTTACCACAGCCGTGGACTTCACCTAGGGACCCAGCACAGGGGTACCTGCCACCTCAGCCCAGGCTTCCTTGGGGCCCCTGGGGACATAGGGCTCACCATTGAGTGCTGTATGTCCAGGCTGTGGAGCTGAGGGCAGGCTTTGGCTAGCATGATAAGAGCTTCAAGGGTCACACCATGACAGTCAGAAAGCTTGAGGAAGGTGAGCCGAGGACAGGACTCACTAACCAGCTGTGGAAGACAGAGGGCCAGCTGGGGGTTGGAGAAAGGCAAGGGAAAGAGACCAACGGCTGGTGCCAGCGCCACTTCACTGTCTCAGCAATGAGCTCCTTTCTGGCCATACCAGGCCTACCTGGGTGCTCCCACTTTTCACTCCTCCCTCCTGGAGGAGATGCCAGGAAAAGAAAACCAAGCAGGCATCCTCATGGGGCATCACTGGGCCCCCACGGTACCTGACTCACTTCCTGGAAGTACTGGGCAACCCAGAGTGTCATGGCTGATGTGCAGGGCAGCCTCCCGCTCTCACCTTCAACACAGGGTGTACCTGGGACTTCCAATGGATGAGAGTCAGCCTCTGGAGCTGTGAGAACCTGGGCGGACCGCAGAGGCAGAGCTGCAGGCTGTTTCCTTGCTTCCCTTCTGCCAGCGTTCTCCCCGCCCATCCCCTTGGTGCAGGGATGCAGGAAGGGGCCTGGGGCTTTCAAACAACACAAAAGTGACGTGAGGGAGTAAGAAAAACATGGAATTCCTCACCGATTAGGCATAAGCCACTCCAGGGAAGAAAGGAGCTTCTTCTCAGCCTTGGCCCCACTCTTGGCAGGGCGGCCAGCCAGCGGGGGAGACAGGGTCAGGGTGTGCCAGAGTGCAGGCTGGGAGGCGGCCTCGTTCCAGCGGCGGCACACGCGGGCAGCCCTGGGAGAAAGGATCTGCTGAGGGGCCGGGCCTTCTGCGGCCGACGCTCGCCCTCATTGGCTGCCGCTATGGGGTTACGTAAGAGGGACCTGCCCCCCGCAACTCTCACAGCGCCGCGGTCAGTTCAAAGTGTGGCCCCGGGGGTTCCAATTAGACCCTGAGAGACTGCTGCCGCGGACGCGTTTGTGGGCGCTAGGGCCCCCGCTGCGTGCCTATTCGGTCGGCCTGAGCTACGGCGCTGCGCGCAAAGGGCCTAGGATACCTGCCGAGAAAGGGTATAGGCCCATCCGCCGCCACCAGCAACCCGAAAATCTGCAGCAGGATTTCCAGGGGAACGCGGTCGCCCCAGCCCGGGTCGGGTTCCTGCAGCGGCGTGGGCGCGGGCGCGGAACTGGGCTTGGCCTCGGCCGCGCGGGACCCCGGGGACCGCAGCCGCCGAGCTTGGCGGGCGACGCGTCTCTGCGCGCGGAGGCGGGCGGGCCCCGGACCTGGCAGCACCAGCAGCATGCTGTCCGACTGCAGCAAGTGGTACCCTGAGCCGCTCGGAGCAAGTCGGTCCCACCACCAGTCTTCCGCCGAGCGGGTCTGCGCCGCGGCCGGGTGCACGAGCCGGACTCGGCGCCGGGCCGGGCGGGCCAGGCCTGCAGCCCCTGAAGCCATAACCGTTCGCCGGGATCCAGGTTCCACCGGGGGGCGGAAGAGGCGGGCCCCATGGCGGAAGGGCGGGACCTGGGCGGGGCCTGGAACTCGGGTCGGCCCTTCGCTATTGTTAGTACCTGACTTCCGGGGCAGGGCTTCCGGCGCTGGGCCGGGTCGGCAAAGCGCGTTCGCAGAGGCCCGGCGGGTGAGTTGCGGCTCTCGCTCCGGCTCAGCTGCGTCTTACCTCTACTGTCGTGGCCCGGGGCGGAGGCGGCGCCCTCAGACTGTGGCTGGACGGACGGCAGCGCTCAGGATCAGGACCGGGAGGTGCGGGACCTGGGCGCACCGGTCGGCACTCCGCCGCTCCCCGACGTAGGGCGGGGCGCTTCCCGCCGCGGTCACACCCCTAGCCCCGACTCGGCTCCGCCTGTCCCGCGGCTTGCAGAAGCCGCAGCGGTGTGCGGCGCCCTGTCCCGGAGTCCTTGTTCCGTGTCCGTAGGTGCGAGTGTGGTGGCGGCGGTCTCGGCCACTCAGACCCGAAGGTCATCTCTCTCTTTACTCCTTCTGCCCTGGGCTTCGACGCTTCCCGCTACCCTGCCTGTCTGCGGGGTACGTGTATCCTTGTGTGTCCCGGGTTTGCCTGACCCCTCCTACCTCCCATACCCCACCCCTGGCACCCCACTCAGTATCCCTGGTCTTGGCCGCCTGGTGCTCTCCTTACTCCGGTTTTGTGTTTTTCTGTTGTGATCCTGCATGAGAGTCTGTTCCCTTCCAACCAGACCAGGTTTTCAGTTCCCAGAGCCGAAACATCTTCTTTGGACCTTGGTGGGGAAAAGAAGAGCTGGCTGTGACCTTTGCCCTGTCCTGGAGGCTCCAGCCTTGGCCTGAATGGCAGCACCCCCGCTGGGCCGTCTGGTGCTGACCCACCTGCTGGTAGCCCTCTTTGGCATGGGCTCATGGGCTGCAGTCAATGGTATCTGGGTGGAGCTGCCTGTGGTGGTGAAAGACCTACCCGAGGGTGAGTTGGGGGGCGAGGCTGCAGCTGCTCTCCTTCCCTGGGCGTCCTGCCCCTGACACGGCTGCCTTCTTTCTTTGCTTGCAGGTTGGAGTCTGCCCTCCTACCTCTCTGTGCTTGTGGCTCTGGGGAACCTGGGCCTCCTGGTGGTGACCATGTGGCGGCGGCTGGCCCCGGGCAAGGGCGAGCGGGTTCCCATCCAGGTGGTGCAGGCGATGAGCGTGGTGGGCACGGCCCTGCTGGCCCCCCTGTGGCTGCAGGTGACCACAGTGGCAGGGCAGGAGCACTCTGTGGCCTTCCTGGCTCTGGCCTTCGTGCTGGCGCTGGCCTGCTGTGCTTCTAATGTCACTTTCCTGCCCTTCCTGAGCCACCTGCCGCCTCCCTTCTTGCGGTCCTTCTTTCTGGGCCAAGGCCTCAGCGCTTTGCTGCCCTGTGTCCTGGCTCTAGTGCAGGGTGTAGGCCGCCTCGAGTGCCCACCAACCCCCACCAATGGCACCCCTGGGCCCCCCCTCGACTTCCCAGAGCGTTTTCCCGCCAGCACCTTCTTTGGGATCTTGTCCACCTTATTGGTCATTTCAGCTGCCGCCTTTCAGGGTTTCCTGCTGCTGTTGCCATCTCCACCGTCTTTACCCACGGGTGGCCCAGGGCCTGGCCTGCGGGTGGGAGCCCCAGGAGTGCAGGAGGAGGAAGAGGAAGAGGAAGAAGCCTCACCCCTGCAGGAACCCCCCAGCCCAGCTGCAGACGCCACCCCCAGCCCAGAACCTGCGGCCCCCAGGCTGCTCTCCACCCACGGTGCCTTCCTGCTGGGCCTGCTGGCCGTCACCAACGCTCTGACCAACGGTGTGTTGCCCGCTGTGCAGAGCTATTCCTGCTTGCCTTACGGGCGCCTCGCCTACCACTTGGCTGTGGTGCTGGGCAGTGCTGCCAATCCACTCGCCTGCTTTCTGGCCATGTGTGTTCTGTGCAGGTACACAGGGAGCCCAGGCCCCTCGGGACGGGATTTAGGGGTGAGGGCTGGGCGAGGCACAGCCAGCTCTGAGTTTTGACTTACCCTTGTCAGGTCCCTGGCAGGGCTGGGCGGTCTTTCTCTGCTGGGCATGTTCTTTGGGGCCTACCTGATGGTGCTGGCAGTCCTGAGCCCCTGCCCGCCACTGGTGGGCACCTCCGCAGGGGTGGTCCTTGTGGTGAGTAGTCTGGGAACAGGGCAACAAAAAGGGTGGCAGTTGGGAGGGGTTTGCTCAGAGCGGGGCATCTCCGCTCAGCCTGCTGCTGTGTCCACCCTCCTAGGTGGTGTCGTGGGTTCTGTGCCTGGGCGTGTTCTCGTACGTGAAGGTGGCTGCCAGCTCGCTCCTGCATGGTGGGGGCCAGCCGGCGTTGCTGGCCGCTGGCGTGGCCATCCAGGTGGGCTCCCTGCTCGGCGCCGTGGCCATGTTTCCTCCCACCAGCATCTACCAAGTGTTCCGCAGCGGGAAGGACTGCGTGGACCCCTGTGGCCCCTAAGCCTAGTGTGGGGGACGCACTTTGCTCCCCCCACCTGTCTTCAGGGTGCGGCTGCCACAGAGACTGCTTGTCCACTGCTTGGGGAGGCCCGCCTCACATGCGGCCTGCTTATGGACAGTTGCACACTTCACAGGCGAACCTGGCACTGCAGGCCAGGTGGGGGACACAGCAGGCTCAGAGCCAGGGCCCAGCTGGGGACGTGGACTTGGCCCAGGACCTGTGTGAGATTTGTATAATAAAGCATTTTTATTCCATGAGTTGGAGTCTATCCCAGGAACAACTTCTGCTGTGCCAATAGACCTCCTCTGATTTGGAGCCATAGTCTGACCTATTCAGGAGGGGCTGCCGCCCCCTGGGGCAGTGTCTGGAGATCCCAGGTTCATGGAACCCTGTCCTCTGCACACAGAGAAGTGCCCAGAGGGACAGAGAAGACCTGCTCCCAGGACCTGGGGTCCGGGCCAAGGACCCACACAGGTTGCAGCAGCCAGAGGCTGTGTGGTGGGCCAGGCCAGCCAGACACGAGGGTCTGGCTGCATGGGCTGCCTGCTGGTTGCCGGGTCTGTGGCCCAGGTGTGGCAGCATTTCCCTGCTGCTTTATGGAGGATCCTGCGGGGGGCGGGGGCGGGGGGGGGGCGGGTTGTGGATTTACACCAGGGGCTTGTTGCCAGGTCCCTATGTGGAAAGGGCTCTGTGAGCGGGACTCAGAAGACTGGGGTGTGAGGGTTCGGCCAGTCTTGGGATCCTTCTGCCCAAGGATGTTGCCCACTCCCCCAAGCCACCTGTCTTGTTTTTAGCTCCTGTGATCAAAGCTGCCAGGCCCCAAGCCGTTATTCAGGTGGACGTGACAGCGGCTGCCTTCTCTCTGGGCTGCTGGCAGATGGCCCTGGCTCTGCACAACCCACACTGCCCCCAAGGCCCCAGGACAGCGGTCCGGGTCTCTGCTTATTGGCGTCTGTAGGGAGCCATGCTGTCCCGGACTGGCGGGCTCCCCTACTGAGGGCTGGCACAGCCTGCAGAGAGCCCCGAGCCGGGAGGGGCTGGGCCTGGGCTTCTGCTGTCTCCTCTGTGCCTCCTGGGCAGTTGGGGAGCAGAGAGAGGCCTGTTGAGGACAGGCTCCCAGCGGGGCCCTGAGCTGTGGTCCAGTGGGACCAGCCTGGTACAGAGACCCTGTTCTCACAGACAAGGCACCTGCTTCCACAGGGGGCCGAGGCCCATGGTGTGGACTCTGGGGGCAGTGGTGCCTGCCTGCCTTGCCACCCAGCCCCCTCTGGATGCCCTTTCTTAACTTCAGAGGCCGGCTGTCCTTGGCTTAGGGAGCATGTGGGCCTCTCAAGGCCTTCCGCCCTGGCCTTGGCCGGATCAGCTGAGCAGGAGGAACTTCCTGGCGGGAGAGAAGGATTTCCAGGCCTTGACCATCCAACAAGCATTCAGCTGAGCCAGGCTCCTGCAGGACTCAGACAGCCCAGCCCTGAAGGCGGGCCCCAGTGGCGCCAACTGCCGGGCCACTTGACCTGACGGGATGGGGGAAGAGGGTAGCAGCAGCTTGACTTTCTTGCATTTGGGAAGCAAGGTGACAGGCAGCTGTGAGTTAGGAACATTGCCTTTGGTTGCAGTGAGCAGAGGCTGGGGGCATGAAATGGGTGGTGTATCCCACCCCGCACTCCCTGACACTGCCCTCGTCCCTCCCTTGCCCACCCTGGGGTGGCTCCCTGTTCCTTCCTGCCCCCTTCTCCTCGCGTTGGGAGTCCAGGGAGCCTCTGCTCTGCCTGCCTGTGTGTCTGCCAGGTGTGCCAGGCTCCGTGGAATGTGCATGGTCTGAAGGCAGGGCGGGCAGGGGGACTGGAGGGGGTTTGAGGAAGCTGCCGCCTTTTGAAGTCTCCAGGACATTCCGGTCAGCCTCCCCAAAGGAAACAAGCGGGGGCCCAGATGACAAGGGGAGGAAAGGCCACGGGGCCAAATCCTGGAGGGCCACTCGCTCGGCACGCCCTTCCCGCTCTCAGCCGCCCAGCGATGAGGCCGGGAAGCGGGGCAGCCCACCATGCCAGCCCCTCAGAGCACAGTGTCCCCCAGGACTGCACCCGGGTGCCATGCCTCCAGCTAGATGGCATGTGGCCAGCCATTTGGCCTCCCAGCCCTGCCCAAAGGGTCTCTCTTTAAAGGAGACCCCAGACATTCTGTCCACTGCACTTTCCAGGGGTCTCAGAAGCATCTGTCGTTCTAGTGGGTTATTAATCACAGACCCCTCTGGCCCCCACCCTGTGGCTGGGTGCTTGACCCAGCTGATCCAGCCGTGGTGCCCACACCAATTGAAATGAGGGAGGAGAGGTGGCCCTGTGGAGCACATGAGGACCCAGTAGATTGGTACTGGGTGTGTCAGTTGTCCCAAGAGTTATAAAAACTACCCAAACTACTTGGTGCACACCAGACGGTGAAGACACCAGATAGGGAACAGGGCAAGGGGTAGAGAGAGCCAGACCCTGACAGCATCCTGCAGTCACCTGGATCCAGCTGTACCTGAAGCTAAACCCCTTGGCCTTCCAAGTTAGTCAGCCCACAATTTTGTGCTTATTTGAGTTGGTTTCTATCTGTCACAGTTGCAAGAGTTGTGAGGTCCTCTTTCGTCTCTGAGCATCTGGACCATTCAGAAGTTAGCACGCCAAGCACTGGCTGACATTACCATGCCTGGAGGTGGATCAGTCACCGTCCTGCAGATTCTCCCATCCTACTCTCCATGTCAAGAGCCCTAGGCTTTCCTAGGCGCTCCCACCAGCTCCTGAGCAGGATGCTTCACTGACCACTTCCACCCTGCAAAGGAGAGTTTCCTGGAGGTCAGACCCTCTCAGAACACCTCGAGCCAGGCTAGGTGGGGAAGGAGGCAGGACCTTCAGCTGGACTATCCAGACAAAGCCCTGGAGGAGGTTTCTGTCTTCATATTTCCTCTCCTTTTGAAAGCGTGGCAGGAGAACTGAGCTCATTAGAAAGCAGATTGCAAAAGAGCCCCTACCTGACCCCTCACAGGTGTCCTGCTACCCATGTCCCCCCCAAGCGCCCACGCCACCCCACATGGACTTAGGTCAGAGGGATGTGAAGAGATGCATACACCAGGGTACTCAGGCATCCAGAGGAGAAGCAGGCAGATCCACACATGAAGGTGTTTGCTCTCTGTTTCTATTCAATGTTGCACTGCGGGTCCTGGCAAGGGTTGTTACACAGGAAAAAGAAATAAAACTATCCTCAGATGACATGATTCTATGTATAGAAAATCATAAGAGTCCACAAAGAACTTGTTAGGACCAAAAACAAATGCAACCAAAATTTGCAGAATACAACATCAATATACAGAAATCAGTTGTATGTTTATATGTGGTCAGCCAATGAGCTGAAAGTGAAATTAAGGAAAATTTTTTTCACAGTAGCATCAAAAAAATAAAATACCTTAAAATGAATTTAACAAAGGAAATGCTAAACTTGTACGTGGAAAACTACAAAATGTTGACAACAATGAAAGACATGAGTAACTATTCCTAGATCAGAAGACTTCTGTTGTTAACTTGGCAATGCTAATCTACAGATTCAAGTAATCCCTATCAAAATTCCATCCAGCTTTTTTTGAAAAATCAACAAAAAACCAAAAAACTAATCCTAATATTCATAACAAAACAAAACTCAGGAGACACAGAATAGCCAAAACAATCCTTTTTGTGTGTGTGCCATGCCACAGGGCTTGCAGGATCTTAGTTCCCTGACCAGAGATTGAACCTGGATCTTTGGCAGTAAAAGTGCTGAGTTTTAACCACTGGACCATCAGGGAATTCCCCAAAACAATCTTTAAAAGAATATAGTTGGCTACAAAACTACAGTAATCAAGACAGACATAGGTCAATGAAACAGAATAGAGAGCCCAGAAATAAACCCACACACTTAACGATCAATTAATCTACAAGAAAAAGAGACAAGAATATTCAAAGGAGAGGCGGGGCTTCCCAGGGGGCAATAGCTGTAAAGAATCTGCCAGCCAATGCAGGAGAATATACAAAGGGGAAAAGACAACCTCTTCAATATATGCTGTTGGGAAAATTAGATGCTACAAATATTAAGACTCAAAACTGGAGTACTTTCCCACTCCAGATACAAAATAAACCAAAAATGGATTAAAGACTTAATGTAAGACCTGAAACCATTAATCTCTTAGAAGAAAACACTGTCATCGGCCTTGGCAATTTTTTTGAATATGTCTCCTCAAGCAAGAGAAACAAAAGTAAAAATAAATAAATGGGACTACATCAACCTAAAAAGCATTTGTACAGTAAAGGAAACTATCAACAAAATTAAAAACCAGACTACTGAATGGACAAAGATATTTGCAATGGATATATCCAACAAGAGATTAATATCCAAAACATTCAAAGAACTTACATGATGCAACCTCAGTAAAACAAACAAGGCAGTTAAAAAATGGGCAGAAGACCAAAATAGACAAAAAGAAGACATACATATGGAGAGCAGGCACATGAAACGATGCTCAACATTATCAGTCATGAGAAAAATCAAAGCCACAGTGAGATTTCACCTCACACTCATCAACAAGAAAACAAATAAGTATTGGAGAGGGTGTGTAGAAAAATGAACCCTTGTGTGCTGTTGGCGGTTATGTAAACTGGTGCAGCCACTGTGGACAATAGTATGGAGTTTCCTCAAAAAGTTAAAAATAGAGTTACCACATGATCTAGCAATTTCACTTCTGAGTATAACAAGAACACTCATTAGAAAACATAAATGAACCCCTATGTTAACTGCAGCATTACTTACAATAGCCAAGATACAGAAACAATCTAATTGCCCACTGGCAGATACATGGATAAAGAAGATGTGCCACATACATTACACACACAATGGAGTGTCAGCCACAGAACACTGTCCTTGGGCTTCCCTGGTAGCAGAGTGGTAAAGAACCTGCCTTCTGATGGAGGAGACACAAGAGGCGCAGGTTTGATCCCTGGGTCGGGAGGATCCCCTGGAATAGGAAATGCCAACCCACTCTCGTATTCTTTGTTTTTTCCACTCCAGAATTTTTGCCTGGAAAATCCCATGGACAGAGGAGCTTGGCGGGCTACAATCCATGAGGTCACAAGGAGTTGGACACAGCTGAGCAACTGAGCATGATTAGCCACAGAACAGAATGGAATCTTGCCATTTTGACAACATAGATGGACGTAGAGGTTATTTTGCCGAGTAGAGTGAGTCAGACAGTGAAAGA